ACCTTTGACCTTTGAAATATATAAGGAAAAAAAGATGTGCATGGCAGGTCTCCAAAGTGCTTGACCGGACGACTTTTAGCACAATGTGGGTTGCACTTTTTCATATATTTGACCTTTGTGACCTCACAAATGAGGCAAGTATATGTATAAGTATTGAACCGAAGGGTGTGTGATATCCAGGATTGGTGATTGCGGGGTACAAAGTACATTTTAGGAATTTTAGTTATCAAACAGATTACTTATCGGAGGAAGGGATGCGAGTGAGGAAAAGTGTAAAAAAAAACATGTATGTAAGTTGTTTGCACTCTGAACCCAACCCCAGCAATTTTTTTCTGACAGTCTAGGTTAACTGGTCTTCGGTACCAGAAGTCATCTCCTAGTCACGTTACCTTGTACTTGCAAAGTTACCATTTTCATTTGATTATTTTCAAATGACAAAACAGAAATGTCTTACACAAATAGCTCATATACTTTGTTTATTTGTAGCAATCCAATATTCTTTCTTATAATAAAAATAAACAAGAAAACTGCAATATAGTTTATGTTTTTTTATTCAGTTTGTACTTTCTTTGCTGTTTTCTAATGACATCAGGACAAAACTAACATTCATACCTAGTGATAACTTCATAACCAACGGACGATTGAAGATTTCTGTATAACCACTGCAAAAAAACACTTTCAAAACTAACAGGACCGGTTTGTGTTATTTCTTTGAATAACGTCTTAAAGGCACTCATAAGACAAATATAAATCAATCAACCTTCAAACACAAACGAAGATCGATCTCAAATCTATCTGATTTCCCCCCTATATTTTCTGAAATGCACAACAAACTGGGCAGGAGATCTGATGAAACTTTTCAACAAATATGGACAATTTAACGATTCTAATTAAACCAGATTTATATCATTAGCAATGAAACATGATTGTGAAAAGTGAAATGTTTCAGTGAAAGCAACAAGTTGGACAAAATTCAGGTCATTTTTGTGTTATTCACCATGTCATATTTCTCGATTTCAACATATTATTTTCCTTTAACCATGATCATCAATAAATTTCTTTTCAATTTCCGAGAAAAAAGGACTGTTCCGTTCTCTGATTGATATCTTGTGTAGGTAAACGTTAAGTGGCTCAAAATGTTCCTTGTGACAGAAAAAAATATTTGTATCATACGGAATTAGTTATACAGCAATTATAATGTCATCGATTTAAAACATGTTCTTGGCCATTGCAGGATTAGCTTGCCTATCTTCTCACATACAAAGCTACTTATCACGGTAGTATAGCAGAGATCCCCAACACACAATATTATGTAGATCAATAATATAACACACATTCAAACTGTGGGGTTTTTGGAATCACTGCTATGCTATATATTTGAACATCAATAGGTTTTAATTACAGTACCATCCCAATTTTTCGGAATAAATAATTACAAATGACCAAAGTGATTCTGTCCATGTCATGAACATTTATTTAACCTTGACACAAGTACAGGTGACACACAGGTGTGGTTCAATCTGTCTGACGATATGTGATGTGTTTAGGTGTAGGTTTCGTCTAGTGCATTTCATGATTTTCCATACATAGTGATATATAACAATAGTTTAGTTTTACGTTTGGTCATGCCAAGTCAGAAAAAAGCAATGTGTATATCGCAAAATGATACTGTTCGTGTGTGTGTGTGTGTGTGTGATTACTATATCATATCACACCTGGTATTACAAGACTAACACATGTGTGAAATACCATACCAATACCTTATGTGTATTCATATATAATTATGTCAACAGTCCTAATAAAAATATCATTGTATACATTTCTCTTCATTTCATCAGTCACTTTTTAAAGTGCAATACAACTCTGATAAATGTAATCTTAAAAATACAATTTTAACAATACATTGTAAATGATATGGAATAACAGCCATGCTCAACATGGAGAACTTCATTGTACCACATCATTGTATTTAAGCTCTGACTTGCAGAATGGAATGTTGTGATATTATACTGTATAACGAATAATTAAGGATCTTGGATGTTTTAAATTTAACTATAGTACCGGTACAACTTGAATATATATTAGGCAATGCCCATTTATGTAAATTAAAAAAAAAAATACAAATGTGATTATATACTTTACTCATTCAAATTCTATAACAATCTACATGTATTATAAATGAATAAAAAAATATCATGACAAAAACAAATCTGTCCTTTTCTATCAAATATCTGATTCATTTGTTACATCATTAAACTGATTTGTTTTCCATCAGCGGAGATGTAGAGGTCATACCAAACCTAAGAAAAGGATAAACAATGGCTTCAATTTTTTTTTAATATATATCTTATACTTTGTTAGGGCGCCTTCAACTGGCAATAACAGCTTGAAAAATCTTATACATGTACATCAAAAATCTTTCACTTTGGAAAATAGTAACGTTTCTTCTATACATTAAATTAAATCATGACTCCAATTCTTCATCGGATGTATCAATCGGAAGTCTTTTTGAGAATTATTTGTCTGCAATGTGTTATATACAGATGTAGGACATGGCACCAACCAATTAGACTAGAGCTACACCATGGAATGAGGAGGGATATATGCAATTTTCAATAAAGCTGATATAGTTGACAAGGTCAGAATATGAGAGATTTTTACAGAAATGTTTGTGAAAAAATAATGAAATAACAGGCTTGCACACAAGCTTAATAGAGACAAAATCTGTTTATTATTCCTATCTCATGTATAACATTGTTATTTTTTCTCCATTACTGATCAAATGTGAAATACCAGCATTACAATTTTCAGACCTGGATAAACAACAGTTTTTCGAAAAAAAAATATAACAATCATGACTACCACCACATTTTTTGAGACATTTGTTCCAGAGGCTCATCACAGCAAGTAAAACGAAAAAACATTTTCAAAATATAACAGATTATTTGGAATATAAAGTTTTCTTGTCTAAGTAGGTAACTGTTGCAAATGGCAGCTATTGGCTATTGTAGTTATGATGAAATAAATAACAATGGACATGTATCCTCATACACATCTAGTCTAGTTACCTCCCTTACATACCTCCCTTAACTCTCCACTCCTAAACATTTCGTACGAAACTACCATCAAATAATGTCACCGTACACAGGAATATCAAAATATGAAAAAAATCATTTACAAAGAATTTTACTAAAGATATAAAAATGACACACACACACACACAAGAAATGACAACTTATGAAATCTAATACTATGAATTGTTTAAAACTTCTCTCAAGTTATTAGATATTTCTCTCCATGAAAAATAGTATAGTTACTCTGCACTTAAATGTGTTTGTAGGATGGAATGGGGTACATATCAACACTTGTTTTGTCGTATAAAAATACAGAATTGAGCACAAATTACTATAGGTAGGGAAAGCACAGCGCCTTGTTGCCCTACAAGTACAGTACAGGTACCGGTATATCCAACGCCACAGAGTCATCACTGTTTTCATTATAAAATGGCTCGGCGTCTCATAATGGCCTATTCTAACAGTATTCATAAATATTTGCATATCCTATACACTGTTAAAACTTGTGTAAATGTGAAGTTAAATTCTGTACCGAAACCAATAGGTTTCTAAGGTTGCACACATTTTAGAATATTGACCTCCTGTTTGTCTAGCTACTCAATGGTGTTGAGGTTCTATTCAGAGGTTGTTACTTGACTACAAAGAAATTAACCAATTCACCCCTAAAGTCACATTTGAACAGTACCAAATCAAAGACTGGACAAGTCCAGTTTAAAACTGTAGGGGTGAGTGAGTTAGCTTATATGCAAATGGGAAAAGATGATGGATTTATGGCACCAAAAAGAATCACCATTATTTTATAAATGACAGAATGTCTAGTTAAACAAAACTGTCATCAAAATAGAAGCTCATCTGCTTGGAAGTTGCCTTCACTAACAGGTAAAAACAAATTTTACATTTCTGCTGTCATTTTTGGACTATTCTGGACATCAACATCAATTTCTGAGAGGAAAATTTGATACATTTATATATTTGATAGTATGTGAGCATTACATCGAGAAATTATAATAGCAAAAATTACACAGGTGCGAAAAATATACAAGTTTTTGCAGTAGATGCCTTAACCCTGTATGAGACATTGTGTGTTTAAAATTTTAATAATATTTCTTCATACATTCCATGACCACACAGGATAGTTACTGATCTACAAATTACCTTTTCAATGCTTGACCACCAGCTACTTCAGTGACAGGTGTAAACCTGGCATTGGTCACATGACCTAAGCTCATACTGGCTGTCAAGCTGTCTGGGCCCTATTTGCGACATGAATGATTAATTAAACTACATAAAGTAAAGCATACAACATTTGGAATTCTCTAAATTGTTGGATACTGACTGACAGTGCAATTCAATATATATGATACATGACTGAATTATTAAATAATATCCATTATGATGATGAATCATTAAGAGAAATCTGAGGCCTATATTACAAACTTAAGAAAAAAAATTGAGGATAAAACAGTCAAACTCTACCCTTAACTCATTCACCCCTGAAATTTCATATGAACTATTCCAACCTTTGAATTGGAGGAGTTAAAATGTGTCTTGAGGAGTGAAAGAGTTAAGAAGCTAGCACGGTACTGGCATTCTTGTTTGAGGTCGTTATTTCATTGTAGCATAATATCTAATAAGTTTTTGCAAGACTTTTGTTTTCACAGCCCAATATTTTCAAAAAATTTCATTGGTGCCAACATTTGCTGTAAACCAGTCAACTTCAGTGAATTGTGTCAATTTGTACATAGATTCCATGTACTTCTTTCCATTCACAGTTCAACTGTGGTCACAATAACCAAGAACAATACAGAACATAGCAAAATTTTCAAAATATATAGTAATTAATGTTATGTACGGATACCTGATATGCATAAAATATTTTTTCCAAAAAGAGGCTGAACGTTATTACCGAAATTTAGACATAAGTACCGCTGATGCATTCTGAGGTTTCAAATTTCTTTGCAGACGTATACTTTTGCAGTATATCTTGTCTTTCTAGAGTTATTACCAAATCATAATATTGCACATTCTGAAAGCAGCCAGACACACATTAAATTCTAAAACTAGGAGCACGTATCAAGGTACACTTGTTTTTAATATATAGTCTGTAGTGTTAAAACAGAGGCGATTTTCCAGACATTTTTTTTATCAGTTTATATACCAGCTCTGGCCTGACAGTGGACAGATATCACATTTATGAAATCTGACCATGTTCTATGATCTGTTAGGCATAAGAGTGCATTGTAATCTGGCTTGAAGCCCTCGTCTGTTAGGAATTTCCGAAGTCTTGCAAAAAGGAGATCCTCTGTTCCCCTAGGTGTTTCAAGTATCGTCACTTGTTTGACGACTCGCACATATTAACAATGCCACTTCGGAATTTCCACCATTGTTCAAAATGTCAATGTTGGAGTATTGATATCACAGAAATTTGTCAACAATAAATAAAACAACATCCATCGTCTGTTATACAAGCACTGTTTCAACTCTCATACTTCCAGCAGGGTGGGGTTCATCTCCATTATCCGTACAAGTATCCGGTCTACATACGCCTCCAGTCGAATGTTGATGTCTGTCTGCTTTCTCAACTTGGCCATCAACTGCAGAAACAAACAGATACAAAGATTATCGCAAAGTAAAACTCTTCGCATTGAATTTACACCAATAATATAGACTACCAGGAATTATAAACAGGTTTCGTTGTCTCAATGGTACCAATCAGGATAGTTATTGTCTGTGTTGGCCAATCAGAATCAAAGATTTACAGAAAAACAGAAAAAGCAACACCATGTGAGTATGGCAAAAAATATAAAGTTTATGTTAAGGGTAGTTCAAAAAGAAACACAAGATAGACTGATGGACAGACAGTTTCCCCTGCCATTTTCGAAAAAAAAACCCAGGACAAAGTGAGAAACGTATAAGTTATTGTAATATACATGTCTCTGGGACAACACAGGTGTAAAATTCGTACCTAACTGGCTTTTCAAAGCCTATTTCACATTTCTGCTAAAAATATTAAAGTGTTTGCCAATAAGTGTTGCAGTAACATATTCATGTTAATTTCAAAATTGAAATACAATACAAATATTTGTATCAAAACGAACTTAATTAGGTTATTCCAAAATACTGCTAAATTTGAAACCATCTGTAATGAGTAGCAAGGGAGCTAACTCTTGCAGTGAACTTTACCTCCTCCTTGGTGAGATGGTCGAGTTCTGCAGCCAGGGAATGCTCCTTGTTGTTGACCAGCGCGCGTCCTTCTTCCAAACAATTGGTGAGTAGCTGGGCACTCAGGTCCTCGTTTGTGTCATGGAGGGCCTTGTTCTCCTACAAAAGTGGCTAGATCAGTTAATTTATACATACCTGTAACACATTATTATATCATCTATAAAAACGTCCATAATCAATTAATATATTATCTATAATCCAGGCATATTGTATTACACTCTAATACTGCTGAGTGAAAACAACTTCCTGATGATAAACAGAAGAAAATTTATGTCAGGATACAATACTTGCTACCTATAGTTTTTCTTTACATTGAAATAAAGTTTCTGGGTGCTCAGATACCACAGATTTATTACAACTGTATTCAGATCCTGAAAACAAAACCCTAGCAATATTTAATCACTACAAAAGAGGCAGCAAACAGGTAACGACTAAGAACTCTGATATATATATATATACTGACAAACAAAATTAGACTGAAAAGTTGTCAAGGAGACTGTTTACATTAAAATGGCTTGTAGAATAAAACAAAATAAATGAATAACATGGCTTTGGTATCCACAAGCAATCTCAGAATTGTAAAATATTTCTTATCTATTCGGGATGAAGAGGCTTTGCTAGCAATGCATTGTGGTATTTTTATCTTTGAATTGTAATAAATCATTCTTTTGAATGGGAACTATGATTAAAAAGATCTCTGTGACACTGACATGTCAGCTTCTAGCAGTTAAGAAGTACATATTTAACTATGTGTTTAACCTCAAATTCGATAAAGTGAAGCCAATTTAATACAAGCAGAGAAAACTTCTGGCCTCAACAAGCTTATGAAGCTACCTTAACCTCAGGTATAATAACGTAATATCAAACTTTCACTTTGGAATAAAAAAACATCACCAGTCCTGTACTTAACTCATTCGCTGAAATTTTATAATGAACTATTCCAACCTTTGAATTGGAAGAGTTCAAATGTGTCTTCAGGGGTGAATAAGTTACTGACATTTGGGATAACAAAATAATGCAAGAATTCAAAACCTGTGATAAAATGTGAGGTATAAACATAAAAGAGCAATTAAATGTTATGACATTCCTTTAATACAAAGCCTGTGCGGTTTATTAATACACCATGCACAATACCTTGGCAGCTCTTGTACATATCAAGCATTGTTTTCAACCAGCCAATTCACAAACGTAACACACATGCCTGATAATCATACTTTTAGGGAAATTTAATTAGGTATTGGTAATTAAAAATAAATATTTTTGAGGAGGGGGGATGGGGGTTTTTGTGGGGAAGGAGATATTAACATCAAAGAAACTGATATTTGAATAAATATGCCGCTATCGTTCTGGTAAATGATTATTACATTACAACCAATAAAATATCAAGCAGAAGAATAATACAATACTTAGAAGACTCACTAGATAATAAAACACTATCTGTATAATAAACATATAATTGCCTTGAAAGATGAATTTGTAAATATTTTTATTGTTAACACTAGAAACAAAATGTGATCAACATAAAAGAAAATAATATTTCGATTAAACGGACAAATAAATTCTACATCTACTGAGGAACCATACCAGGAAATGTCCAGGATAAATATGGTTACAGACTTTATTTACAGAAGTGAAGAATATCTAGTTTGCGAATGAAAAAAAAAAAAGACATAGGAGGAGGGTTAACCAGGACCAATGGTAGGGGGAATAACTCCTGTTAATTACTGATAACATGAAGAAATCAGAGCAGTGTGTTTTAAATCTAAAAAGACACTAGTACATTAACAGGAATAATATAAGTCCTTACATAATCAGACTGACAGTCTCATTACTCTCAAAGGATCTTTGTTACAAAATGATGTTAGCCTTATAACCACAGATAATAATTTGTGAACCGCTTTGAGACGAGGGTTGTGATAAAGCGGTATATAAGAACCTCAAATTATTATTATCATTTTTATTATCATTTGTGAAATTTCACACATCTTATTAGCAAAAATTGTCATAAGGTTTCCCTATCAGTTTAAATTATTAAGTGACACTTCAGAAAAAGTTCATAAAGAAATCATTCAAGAAAACAATCCTCAAAGATACAGGTATGGGTGATTTCATAGCACTGTGGTACAAGTTTGGATGTATAATGCTATTCAAAAATACTACCAAACCTTCTGACAGGCATGAACAAATCCATTAAAATCAGGTAAAGTGAGTACTACTTTTTCAAAGCAGGTAGAATCTCTGCCCTAATACAAAAATTTCTGGTTAGTATATAGTTCTGTTTTCCATGTATTTCTATTGCACACGTACAAATAGCAAAGAATGGTTTCATCTTGTGCAATGTAAATATTTAAATGTATAAAAACCACATATACATATTATAAATGAAATAAAATTACAAAACATAAAGGGCACAACAGGCAAACAAAACAACAACAAAATCAGCTTGGTCACAAAGAGTGCTTGTTCAGTGTTTCATGGTCAGGATACTACATCTAGAGTTAACCATTACAACTATCACCAGAAGCAGCCAAGATGCAGATTTTATAGAGAAGGGGAGATAATCCAGTATAGATACAGTTACAGCCACTATGTTAAAATGTTAACATCCGTTAGAAATACAAACCTTGCTTAAAGTCCTCCACTCAACGGTTAAGGCCTTGTGTAATAAAAATTATATTTGATATAAAACCAAGTCCCAATTTTATTCATAAATATATATATATACGCTACAAGTAGCAGTGGAGAACAAAAAATCTACGGTTACATTGTGTATAATATTGTAAAGAGAAGCTCACGACAATGTTATTACATAAACACCTTAAATAAAAGATTTTTCTCCGACAGAAAATATAGAATATTATCAGTGAATGTCTTTTCTAATGAAGAGGAAATAGTTAGTAGCTTGAAGCCAATCACTACTACCCCATTCTAATGCCTAAAATATAGAACATACACCATATCAATGTTTCCTTGAGTAACGAAACACATGTCGACCCCAAAACACTGTTAGCACCATGATTAAATATAACCTTTCAAAGGCAACCAAATCAGTGGTATCACACAAATGGTGAAAGCCAGACAGATGATAATGTGTTGCTGCGATGTCTCACCTCTTTTAACCTTGACACTTCTGTCTGAAGGGCGTGGTAGCGTCCCGGCAACTCGCCTTGGCTGTCCCCTCGGGGTCGATGCATCTCCATATCAATTTTGTACTGCCGAAGTTCTCCAAGTTCCTTCCCTAACTCATCTAGTAACTGGAAACAAACAATGCATTTTGTTTACATATAGTTTCGTTCAGATGTGATCATAAAGCACATTGTTTACACTTGATTCACTTAAGTCTTCTTTTGCATGCATCTATCAAATAATTTGTCAATAAAATTAAGAATTTCTGGAAACTAAGGATGCTCATTGTGTTAGTCTTGAATACTACTACTATACTGTATTGGTTTTCAATAGTTTATCCAATTTCATCAATATTTCACAATGATATCTGAAAGCAGAATAATACTGTATTCCAGGAAACTTTTGACCTATCATACTTCCCCCCTTTACTGGTAAAATCTATATTCACCCAGAGTACAAGCTGTGCACTAATATGTCATGATACAATTGCTCTCATCATGGTGGGTGAAAAGAAGGAAGATACACTGCAGTGAAAATTTACCAGTATAATCTTTAAGAGAAACCGCAGCCCATTTCTCAGAGAATTTGATAAAGGAAATAGTGGAGCTACGATATCTTCGCCTCGACATTACAGACCTTCCATCACACCTGAGATCAGTGACAGCAACTCCCTTACTGTCTTAAGTCTGAGGTCAGATGCCTCCATTAAACAGAGACAACCAATGACAACCTACCTGGCCTGTTGTTTCCCGTTCCCTGTCTGACAATGACAACCTACCTGGCCTGTTGTTTCCCACTCCCTGTCTGAGAATGACAAACTACCTGGCCTATTATTTCTCACTATAAGTCTGAAGTCAGTGGTCTCCATTAAACCGAGAACACTGATACATACCTGGCCTGTTATTTCTCACTATAAGTATGAGGTCAGTGGTCTCCATTAAACTGAGAACACTGTTACATACCTGGCCCGTTATTTCTCACTATAAGTCTGAAGTCAGTGGTCTCCATTCAACCGAGAACACTGTTACATACCTGGCCTGTTATTTCTCAATATAAGTTTGAAGTCAGTGGTCTCCATTAAACCGAGAACACTGTTACATACCTGGCCTGTTCTTTCTCACTATAAGTCTGCGCTCAATGGTCTCCAGTAAACCGAGAACACTGGTCCATACTTGGCCTGTTATTTCTCACTAGCAGTCTGAGGTCAGTGGCCTCCAATAAACCAAGAGCAATGTTCCATACCTGGCCTGTTGTTTCTCGCTCCCTGTCTGACAATGACAACCTACCTGGCCTGACATTTCTCGGTTAAACCGAGAACACGGTTACATACCTGGCCTGCTATTTCTCACTATAAGTCTGAAGTCAGAGGTCTCCATTAAACCTAGAAATCAGTGATCTTGGTTTAATGGAGACCCCTGTCACTGATACATTCCTGGCCTGTTATCTCTCACTATAAGTCTGAGGTCAATGGTCTCCATTAAACGGAGAACACTGTTACATATCTGGCCTGTTATTTCCCATTATAAGTCTGAGGTCAATGGTCTCCATTAAACGGAGAACACTGTTACAGACTTGGCCTGTTCTCTCTCACTATAAGTCTGCGCTCAATGGTCTCCAGTAAACCGAGAACACTGGTCCATACTTGGCCTGTTACTTCTCACTATAAGTCTGAGGTCAGATGCCTCCATCAAATATACAACCAATGACAACCTACCTGGCCTGTTGTTTCTCGCTCCCGGTCTGACAATGACAACCTACCTGGCCTGACATTTCTCGGTTAAACCGAGAACACGGTTACATACCTGGCCCGTTATTTCTCACTATCTGTCTGAGGTCAGTGGCCTCCAATAAACCAAGAACACTGTTACATACCAGGCCTGTTATTTCTCACTACCTATCTGAGGTCAGTGGCCTCCAATAAACCAAGAGCAATGTTCCATACCTGGCCTGTTATTTCTCATTATAAGTCTGAGGTCAATGGTCTCCATTAAACTGAGAACACTGTTACATTCCTGGCCTGTTATCTCTCACTATAAGTCTGAAGTTAGTGGTCTCCATTAAACCTAGAAAACAGTGATCTTGGTTTAATGGAGACCACTGTCACTGATACATACCTGGCCTGTTATTTCTCACTATAAGTCTGAAGTTAGTGGTCTCCATTAAACCTAGAAAACAGTGTTCTCGGTTTAATGGAGACCACTGTCACTGATACATACCTGGCCTGTTATTTCTCACTAGAAGTCTGAGGTCAGTGGCCTCCATTAAACAGAAAACAGTGATACATACCTGGCCTGTTATTTCTCACTGTATGTCTGAGGTCAGTTGTCTCCATTAATCCGAGAACACTGTTACATACCTGGCCTGTTATTTCTCACTATAAGTATGAGGTCAGTGGTCTCCATTAAACCGAGAACACTGTTACATACCTGGCCTGTTGTTTCCCGCTCCCTGTCGGATCGCCTTTTAAACTCTTCATGTTCACTTGCCAAGGTATTGTAGTCAAGCTGTGATTCAGACAATTTTTCATGGAGCTCTCTTTTTTCCTAAAATAAGAAACATATTTAAACACATTAAATAACTGCCTTATCTTTTACTGTCTACATATTTTCTTTCATATCTTCCTCTGCAGCATCGAAAACTTGATAGCAACAACAGCAGCTATTTAACTATTAAACAAGGTGGTATGTATTTTTATTTTCTTTCTCATGCAGTAAAGTCTGTTTTGTTCAAAATAGCACACAGACATACAAAAAACATCTATATGGGTTTGTATCTAGGTAGCTTACAATCTATTATTAATAGTACAGCCTGTATTATTAACAGTACTCAATTTTAACATTTAAAGACTTCTGTTGAACTGCAGGTTAGGCAAAAGATATAGGTTTACAGTTTCATGCAGGATAAGAAATTTTGTTAAAATTACCAAGTCAGAAAATCTTTAACTCATTCACCCATGAAGACACATTTGAACTCTTCTAATTCAAAGGTTGGTAAAGTTCATTATGAAATTTCAGGGGTGAATAGAGTTAATTAGCATCATAAAAATTTGTAATTTTGTCCTGTTCAGGGTCTTTTAATTTATCCTCATTGGGAGAAATTCCAAACCTGAACTGCTTATAGGGGTGATAATCAGATAACAGTCCACTGCACAAACAGTGTTAGACCAGTTGTTACCAACAAAGTTTTGGTTTATCCTACTTGACTGTATCTACTTACATTTCGTAACCGCTCGACGTCGGACCGTAATTTAGGATTTTCTTGCTTCAGATGATCACATTCGCTTTCTAAAGTTTGGAGCCTGAAAATGACAGAATGCTGACCTTGTTAATCAATGTTCAGTATCAGTTTTTTATTTGAACATATCTGTTACAAAATTAAGTAGACCGACTGCAGCAGTTATGAAGAATTGGAACATGTCAAAAGTATCATCCTTGAACTATGTGATGAAATTATCGTGACCCACTTAACACATTAAGAAGCAGGTCAATCATACGTCTTTGATTTTCTGGTTACAACCATCGTCAGGATAACAGTTTCTACGACAGCAACGATCAGTTTTAACACCAGCGTTGTTGCTCTGGAAACGACAGCCATCAGGAGATAGAGTACCACTAACAAGAACCAGACGACATCCAGGACCATAGTCCTCAATCTGGGCGGCCATTATACAACTCGCGGCACATGTTGCACGGTGTTACCTGTATTCATTACCTTAACAAGTTACCTGTGTCAGATCGGTTACAGCGGAGAGCCATTGTACAGCCATAGCACACCAATATACTACCTATACATTCCTATATCGTTATATATATATTTATAGCCACATGGCTGAGGATTAGTAACAGCTGGTCAAGCATCTTCTTAGGATTTTTTTGCAGAATTTCAAATATCATGTTTTATACATATACATGTGTATATGTATATATGCTATATTTGTTTTGGTTGTGCACTGGAGTTAGGGATCGTGAAGTTGAAGCTGATGTGAACATAGTTTTTAGTTTTGAGAGACTTCTGATGTGGAGTATGGAGAGTAGATGGCACAGGATTCGGAGTCTGGCTGGCTTCTATGGGGCTAGTTTAAGGATTTGGGTGATGCAACATAATAGAGCCAGAAAGTGTCTCAGAGTTGTATTTTTGGTTGTATTAAGGGTATGTGGGTCTTTAAGGGGTTAGTGGGTCAGAATTTGAACTGGAATAGTGCTATGTGGAAATGAGACTAGAATGTACCTGAAAAGGATGTGATGTGATTTGTATGTTGTTGTAATATAATGTGGTTAATTGGTTACGATGCTAAGAGCTGTAAAAGGGTCTGGTAGAAATTCTGATAGTGTTTGGCTTGGTTATTTGCATGTATATAGGACATGTTCCAGGTTGCTATAGAAATGGCAATCTCTGGCATTACTTTGTGGTGTAGCATGCATAAAATACCCATATCATGCAACACGATGGGCCTGGTTACCATAGCTACCATCACTGTCATTACCAGATATAGATACATGTAGAAAATTCTAGTTATGCAGATTACTTTGATCTGTCTGGTATCAATATATGAGAGAAAGGCAGAGTCATATGAATCCATATAGTAAACACTGATGTCATTATAAACTATCAGTTTACCTGTGTATAGTGACCACCAATGTCAGTGACATACATATATACCTGTGTATAATGACCACCAATGTCAGTGACATACATCTATACATGTGTATAGTGACCACTAATGTCAATGATATACATATATACCTGTGTATAGTGACCCCCCCCAACATCAGTGACATACATCTATACCTGTGTATAGTGACCACCAATGTCAGTGACATACATCTATACCTGTGTATAGTGACCACCAATGTAAGTGACATACATATATACCTGTGTATAGTGACCACCAATGTCAGTGACATACATCTATACCTGTGTTTAGTGACCACTAATGTCAATGATATACAAATATACCTGTGTATAGTGACCACCAATGTCAGTGACATACATCTATACCTGTGTATAATGACCACCAATGTAAGTGACATACATATATACCTGTGTATATTGACCACCAATGTCAGTTACATACATATATAACTGTGTATAGTGACCACTAACATCAGTGACATACATATATACCTGTATATAGTGACCACCAATGTCAGTGACATTTATATATATACCTGTGTATAGTGACCACCAATGTCGGTGACATACATATATACCTGTGTATAGTGACCCCCAATAACAGTGACATACATCTATACCTGTGTATAGTGACCACCAATGTCAGTGACACATCTATACCTGTGTATAGTGACCCCCAATGTCAGTGACACATCTATACCTGTGTATAATGACCACCAATGTCAGTGACATACATCTATACCGGTGTATAGTGACCACCAATGTCAGTGACGTACATCTATTACTGTATATAATGACCACCAATATCAATTACATACATCTATACCTGTGTATAGTGACCACCAATATCAGTGACATACAGATATACCTGTGTATAGTGACCCCAATGTCAGTGACACATATATATACCTGTGTATAGTGACCCCCAATGTCAGTGACACATATCTATACCTGTGTATAATGACCACCAATGTAAGTGACATACATATATACCTGTGTATAGTGACCACCAATGTCAGTAACATACTATTACCTGTGTATAGTGACCACCAACATCAGTGACATACATATATACCTGTATATAGTGACCACCAATGTCAGTGACATTTATATATATACCTGTGTATAGTGACCACCAATGTTGGTGACATACATCTATACCTGTGTATAGTAACATAGATCTCAGACCGCTATTTCTCAATTTCAATTTCATTTATATATATATACCTGTGTATAGTGACCACCAATGTCGGTGACATACATATATACCTGTGTATAGTGACCACCAATAACCGTGACATACATCTAAACCTGTGTATAGTGACCACCAATAACCGTGACATACATCTATACCTGTGTATAGTGACCACCAATGTCAGTGACACATATCTATACCTGTGTATAGTGACCCCAATGTCAGCGACACATATCTATACCTGTGTATAATGACCATCAATGTCAGTGACACATATCTATACCTGTGTTTAGTGACCACCAATATCAGTGACATACATCTATACCTGTGTATAGTGACCCCGAATGTCAGTGACACATATATATACCTGTGTATAGTGACCCAAAATGTCAGTGACACATATCTATACCTGTGAATAGTGACCATCAATGTCAATGCCATACATTTGTGTATGTGTATAGTGACCAACCATGTCAGTGACATACATCTATCCTGTGTATAGTGACATAGATCTCAGACCGCTATTTCTCAATTTCTTGACTTGCTATGTTAAGAAATGTTATTTCTTACCTTCTTGTTATGTACTCCATCTCGTCCGACTTCTCCCTGTCCTTCCGAGACTGAAATAAACACACAATAATAACACATAATAAATGAATTTCACATGATTGTTCTCTATACTTTGTCACATGTAAGTGACATTTCTTATCAAACTGAAAATGGAAACACAGATTAGTTTGATCGTGTTTAGGTGTGTGGCGGTCTACGTCGGATCCAGTAAGCCTTTCATACCTTTCTCGTTTCATATTTCTTAGATAATCATAAAAAAATATAAGTTTTAGATACAAATATCACTAGCACTGTATCTCCATACATTGATGCCAGGTACAGTTTTATATGAAATACATGTAATGTTTACACGTCTGCAAAATCTCATCTTTAAAAACTCAGGTATGACGACCAGACTTAACACACATAGGTACACATTCAATACACACATACACCTGTCCATTCAATATTTTATGACCTACCATAACTATGGACAGCCAACTTGTAAGGTTCACAACAAAACACAGGAATAAGTACAACAAATTGAGTACTCCCATGAGGCCTCTACTGAAACTGTTCCTGCCACTGAAAAACGTACAGGCCATGTAGTGGTCCAATTAGCATGTACAAGAAGTAGACAAAGCTGGTTTTCCTGCTGCCACGAACTAATCAATAGTTTTATGATATATAAGTATAACGGATATACCATTGCTTTAAAACTATTATGATATTAGCAGTTGGAAATATGACCTGTTTCTGCTACCTAGATGATATGCAGGGTTTCCGTATAACAATATTGAATGAAAATTAAGCCAAAATAAATATTATACAGACCGTCTTTTTCATGAATATTGTAATTTAAATGACAAATAATAAATACTCATGATTCGCTATGCACAAGGTATGGTATATTACAAACCTACAAATTATCTAAACCTTTCAAATAGTGTAGACTATCAACTTGACTTAACAACAAAACTAGAGCAAGAGTTATTCCCCTTTATTCCCCAAACCACAGCCCTTGTTACAGTATTGACCATATTGTAGGCATCTATCTATCTCCTTGTTAATATTCACTGTCAAGATTAATTTGTGCCTCATTATGTTCAACTGCAGTGAAAATATCTAGGTACACAGCGAGTATATAAAAGTCCCTTAGTATATGTAGTGAAGTTTTAGACATCACCTTCCAGCCTTCATATTGATACTGGGATTTGGTACCCTTCTTTGGAGTTGACTTTTGCGTTACATGTATATTACGATTTTGGTCGAGATTGTGATAGGAGTCAGTTCTAGTAGGCCTGTGATCCTTGGTGAAGTACATCCACATCTGCAGACCCATCACACAGTCCCTGTTATATGGCCCTATTATCATTACTACCCATGTAGCATGCTTGGCCACATGACCTCTCTGACCCTAACCCTGGGTACAGACTGAGCAAAAGTCAGCACTTTAAGCTCAGGTGTTGACACTTGGGGCCTGATTGACTTGAGGTATTGTCACCAGACTAAACAATGTGCAGGGCCAGGAAGTGGACACAGCATTACCTGGTAGTGTAACTATTGTTATTTTGGAGGGACGGTTTCCTTTATTGTCTAGGCTCTACCAGTGTCTGCACTGACAACAATGCCTTTACACGGGTTAGTGGAGAGTCCCACCTCTCACCAGTGAGAGTAAATGTTCTTTCACACATCCTCATAGCAGACAAACGTACTAACTAACGAGTTGTGTAGACAATATTAAACCTGTTACACCACTAAAATGGATTATATCAGCAACTCAATTAATAGAATCTCCTCTACATTTCCTCAAGGGCATGTCACGTCACAATAATGTAAGAGACATCTCACACAAAAAATAAAAACATTTTTTCTTTTTGTTTCTGAATACATATTTTAGTATCATCTTCAAATTTGAACCGCCTTTGTATTGTAAATTCACACATGAAACCTCACCTTATGCTCAATATTCCACGCATCACATTTGATTCATGATCAGTTCCTTATAGTCTTATACAGTGTTAAATGGGAACTTGTCAGGACCACAAACAATATTGGATACTTGCCAACGTTTTAAAATTTCAATGGGGGAGATTCTGCATGCTTAAAATTAAAGAGACAGAGAGAGGAGAGAGAGAGGAGAGAGAGAGAGAGAGAGAGAGAGGGAGGTGGGGGTGGGGGTGGGGTCACTGGTTCAATCTCCGAAGGAAACACATTGTTCTTTCACTGTTACACAAATAATAATGTTTCAATATTTCTGTGGCTCATCTGAAGCTCATTCATCAAATTCACAGTAAAAACACTTACCATGATATCCTTATATTTCCTTTGCTCGTCAGAGACTCGCTCATCAGACTTTATCTCCACGTCCTTCAGCTGTTCTTCTAAAGAATGCACCCTGTTCAATGGAAACAACTAGTTAAAAACCGACTGAAACTTGTAATACATGTTGTGTTTCAATACTCAGACAGAACAGGGAAGTTAATAAAATGGTGGAATATCATAAATATGATCATTACAACATTAACACAAAGGGATGGCTGAAAATATAATACTGCAGAAGAATGTGCATTGAAATTAATAGTTGTGAGGACTTATTTTATTATCATGAGAAAAGTTGATTTAAATTACCAGAAAATGAGAAATCAGTTCATTTCCATCTTTATAAATGCAGAATTTAACTCCATGCTTCATGTGAGATTGTTTAACTGAAGAAATAACTCAGAGAAGTTAATAACATTGAAGGTCTTCATTAGTAGGACAACACAACCAACACATAGTGAGAAACGATGAAATAATTGTTTATATCAGGAAAATATATTATGTGTTCGAATAAACAAACAATAGAAGTACATCATACATGTTGCTTACAAGGATCATCCATTAATTACAGGTCTTGGTTATCTATTTACCACCCTTCACAAACGACCTCAACCTTTAAATATGTTGTACATTGAAACCCATCTAATCTGGCCCCTGAATATTCTAACATCCTGTAATAATTGACATACAGTTGTAATTCAGCTTTGAAATTTCTCATTATGGAATTTTTACGAACGACCTCAACCTTTAAATATGTTGTCCATTGAAACCCATCTAATCTGACCCCTGACTATTCTGACATCCTGTAATGATTGACATACAGTTGTAATTCAGCTTTGAAATTTCTCATTTGATCTTTTTACAAATGACCTCGACCTTTAATCAATTGTACATTGAAAGCCTTCTAATTTGACCCATGAGTATTCTGACAACCTGTCATATTTAATATACAGATGTAGTTAAATCTTTGATTTCTTGTTTTTTTATTAGTAAGACTCAGAGTACAGAGATCATGCACCACAACTCAGCCAAACACGATACAAAGCATTAAGTGATGTCACCAAAATACATCACAGGTACCAGTTGCTCAGCAAGCAACAAACATTCCAACGCCCCGTCCTATTGACAGGCACTGTCTCGGTAGTGTTATTTCATAGTTTTCTAGTTTTTACTTTGACAGTTACACTTGATGTAATGTTAGAAGTTATTAGAATTTTTGCCAGTTTTTAAGCACTGTAATGTAACCCTTAACACTTTAAGAAGCCCTTTGATTATCACCCTTGAACACTGTCCTTATTTATGACTAAATTTATCTCATTTTTGAAATGCCCAGTAAGGTATAATATTTGTTTAAAAGAGTAAGAACTACTTTTCCATGATGTTTGAATTTACAATATAAATCTATTGTACATATGATATGAAATATAAATTGAAATATGCACAATGTACATTTAATATATTCTAGATATATTCATTGTTGTTTTATTTATTTTTCCTGCTTTAACATATATGTGTATGCAGTCACCTGTGTGTAGACCTGTGTATACGCTATAACACCTATTTAACATCTATACAAAGCTTATTAACATGCACAGTGTTTACTTCAGAAAACACATAATGCCGAAAGGCTTGCAATGCATAATATATATTGTATACGTATGTAAATATATAATGCCATCAGTGCTACAGTATTTATGTACATGTGTAACCCACTCTGTGTGCCATTGGTCATGTATAAATATGAAATTTAGATTTAATTATGTCTTTCACATCAAGAAATTTTTAACATGATGCAGTAAAAATTGAAATAGAAGAATTATTTTCTACATAATTTTCTCTATAAAATAAGCTTAGATGAATACAATGTATGGGATTATATTACTGTATTAACTGTATGTATACACTATAAATAGTGTACTGTTAAAACCAATAGATTAACTTGAAGTGTCATTTCATGTATCCAGCTTAAACATGTATATACTGTACAAAGGGAAACAACTCTGCTAATCTTACCCTCTCCCATATCTAATTACCATTTCAACACATATAATGTGTTTTAGTTGTTACATTTTTTACCAAATGAGAAGAATATTATTTTATACAAAAGTGAATTGAGTAGGATATTAAGTAGCGTTGGCTGACATAACCAATGAGATATTTACATATAAAGTGCCAAGTAACTTTCCCCAGTTCGGTTATTAAAAATGATAATATATTCCTATGATGTCCTGATTGTGTGTCTTAGGATATACTGATGCAAAGCCAACATGTACCCATCGAAAAATGCACATAATTAGATATTAAGATATTTATAGGAAATCTGCTTTAATTATACATACAAGCAATAGAAAAAGATATTAATTAGTAAATGAAGAAAAAGATATTAAGTAGTAAATGAAAACAATCTATTCTACAGCATCATTATAACATTACAAAGCATTATTTACACAGCATTAACACTGAGAACATGGCATGTATTTTGTCATTATCAACCCATGTTAGCTTTAATAAAATACAGAGGGTAAGTTGAATATAAAAACAAAATTGTTATTCAACATGTTTTATCATAGATTATTTTTTTAATTATTTCACCATAATATTTTCAAACTCATTTATGAGGTAAATAAATATACTGAAAATAAAATTCTTTTAATAATTTATCTTTAAAAATCAAATCTAGGTCTACACACTCTAATAACTTCCGAGAAATTAATGAACATGACAAAATATTTACCATCCAACCCAAACACCGCTAAACACAATATCAACACAGCACTACAAGAACCCGCTACACAGTACATAATCAACAGGTGGTTTCTACATAAGTCTTACCTGTCCACAATACTAAAGAAAACAAAAACACAGATGTGTTATACTGCCATTGTCTGTTAATCATTTACTTCTATGGGATGTTTTTTTCCCGTAATTGTCTATGGGTGTTGCCAATGGCTTAATCTCTTGATAACAAGAATCTGTGTACATTTTTCAGGGAAAGTTTGACATGATAATAGAACTTTGATGGCACTGCCTACAAAATTAACAGATTCTAAAATATCAAAGCAGTTTAAAGCACACATTTATGATAAGTGTTTCTCCATAGTCTTAATTACATAATTACCATAAAGTTTTGACAAAAAAAACCGAAATATTTTATCATGGTATATATGTACAAACTTGTTACAAACTTGTTATACAAGCTATATTTGAGGGCCACATATAGCTCCTAGTTATACGTCCTTACTAAACAGGTCCTACAAACAATAAAACATTGAATTCAGGTGACACAAATACTACAGGTGCTTACCTTTCGATGAGGATGCTGTTGTCGTCTTTAAACTTAGTCTGTAATGAAAAGGAGTTCTTTTTCTCTTCGTTTAACTGTAAAATCTGATTCTCCAGGGATTGTACCTGTTGAAATAAAACAACGTCAGAATTAGAGTAGACCTCTATATACCAACTTCAATGTCTCTGTACAATGAAAGGAATTTTTTGGTTTGTGACAAGGAAGACAACTCTGTCAACATTGTGCAATATACAATATTTCTTACCTACTTCAAAAACATAAATGACTTACTTTATCGTTAAGATGGTTAAAACTGCCGTCAATATCGGCAAGCACTTCGTCGTCCGGTGCAGGGCTTCGACTTTTGGGTGGAAAGTGGTTACTAAAGTACAAAATAATTAACAAGAAATTAGACAAATTTGATTAATTTTAGATTGTCATTGAAAAGAACAACTTCTACCCCAAAAACATACATGGGAAATTAAGAGACTGATTATACTATATGAGTAATGACCATCATAAAGTTACTATTTTCTTTAGTAATAAGACATCGTTCCCATAAAAACAGAGTCTGTATGTTGGCTGAGTTGGCAGATAGATCATTTTCTGTTCGACCTCAGCCATCTAGCCTATACTTACTTATTGTGTAAGGCTGCTGCAACTGAACGTCGGCTGACACTGTAAGGAGAAAACAGACAGCAATATTATTCCCTGTGGTACTACACTTATGCACCGCACCACTCAGTAAACAGCTCCCTATCTTAAATGCTATGTTAGCTTCAAAAAGCATTGAAATTCAATTCTGAAGACAACTGTTCTACAATAAAAACAAATTGTTTTCTAATATTTCTTTATGATTCAGATATAACAAAATTTATTCAAGAGTTTCAACAAAAATATACTTTTACTGGTTAGTCAATTATCAGTGTTAAGCTAGTTAACTCATTCACCCCTGAAGACACATTTGAACTCTTCCAATTCAAAGGTTGGAATAGTTTATTATGAAACTTCAGGGTGAATGAGTTAGTTAGGTTTGGACCACAGTACCCAGCTCTATCACTAAATGGTGGAAAGGAAGAATTTTGACTCGGAAGTATATTTACTTGTTTCTACATATGGTGATGAAATGTGTTCATGTATAATAAATAGATTTGATGACTCATTGTCACACAGGTAAATGACAATACAAATATGATACACATATTCACAGAAATTGAGGAAAAATTACCATACTGTATTTACCTACCATAGTTAAAGAATTTATCATCCGTATCCTATAAACTTTACCTGTGCCTGTATTTTTATAATCTACATAACAAGCATAAAACCTTCATTAAGAACCAGGTGAGGAAGTCAGAAAGTTAAGTTGAGACTAATTTAGGATTAAATTCTATTATTACCCCAAGTATCAAACATATGGCTCTGTCCGATCGCGACAGGTACCTGATAATCTGTGAAAGGCTAGGGTTTATATACCTCAATCCGTTAATCCTTTGTTACATAGGTAATATAGAACTATGAATACACAGGTACCATTATAAACTAATACATTTATTCATACCACGGTAATCTTTGATCTGTATCTCAATATTACAGGGTAGCTTTTCATCTCAAACTCAAAGGTCAATATTTCCTTTCTCTAATGCCCTTATAAAAGTGTTAATCTACACTATTTTATGGAATTATACTGGTCTCAAGATACAATGATCCAAAGCTGTTCCTGTTTTTAAGGAGAAATGCTACATAATTGGGATATGTACCTCCCATCCTAAAAGAGTTCTACGTTAAGTAACTTGTAAACTATGTTTTATGAATGATAATATGGACTGGCAAATTAATTTGAAAAGTACACAGAAATACATGCATTATGATAAAGATTTAATAACCATGAATAATTAGATAACAGTGTAATACTAATTTAACTGTATTAAGGGAGATAATCTCACACAAATGACAGGTTATGATGTGCATTAGGTAGCATACCCCATTAAGCTATCACTGGCATCTATTTCCCCACCATTATGTATATTGAATTCACATTTGTACATGTAATTAAAATCTTCATGCTGATGCAAATATATTATTTAGACAGTTAGAACATATTTTTCTCTCTTTTTTGATTAAGATAAGAGGCAATCTCTATACATGTATCTCTATCATAATGAACTTAACATAGCAAATATTTGAAACCGTTACTTGAAATTGCCCTCCTGTGTACAAACTGGCACATTAATTCTCTTGAATAATTGATCAAAGCTTTAATTCCTTATCCTGTCGAATTTAAAAAAAATGTATAATGTTTGACTACATTCATGAAATTACTTATTCCTAATATACCTTATCAAATTTTGGAATTTATTACATAAGCATGCATTAGTATTAGATCGACACTGCACATGGAACTCATCCAGGTGATAATGAACACAGGAAAACATGCCACATTCTCAAGAGTCAATATGTACGGCAATACCTAAATCTGCATGCTAAAACACTGTACATTTTCACCATTTATATATATATTAACTCATTTTAAGTAAAATGTTATGTAGCTCATTAGTTCTACTCAAAGTAATTTATTCAAAGTCCCACTTTGGAGTAACTCATTTCTGGTCCCACTCTTAGTAACTCAATTAGTGCCAATTAATTAAATCGTTAGTCCCAAACTCATTACCTAAGCCCAGAGTCAATCATATACTTCATACATTTTCATGAATTCCTAAAACTAAAGAAATGAACAGAGTTCACTGTACCATAAACCTCTTCCAGGAAAACAATAATTCCTCATTCCTTGCCGATTAGCCCTAGCTGTTCTATGTATTGGTATTTTATGACAGTATCAATCATCAATATGATGGCAATAAAAAAGATGTGTGTGGCCACACAATCTCATAAAAAACATACAAAATATTTATATGTATGTTATCGTGATACGAGGATGGATCTAGATGTTGATACTGGTATGAGGATGGGTTTCCATGTAAACTCAAGATACATCAAGTGTGAGTACGTTAGAATGTTACGAGCAAGTATATGATGGCCGACAGCCACGCTAGCCTCTTGTTTACATCCTCCCCGTATGTCGTACTTGATTAAATAATTGCTATACATTTACATAAGCCACTGGGTACTGACTGAACCATTGATTTACTGGTATCCCCTCTAAAACACACAACACTCCGGAGCCTGATGAAGAGCTTATAGGAGTTGACATAATTGCTATGGTAACCACTACAGCCACTGAAGCCAGACGTCTCCTCGACAGCGCTGACCTGATTGATTGTTAAAGTCACCCCTCCATATCTGTAAGGATTCGTCTGAGCTCTTCCACAAACAAACGTCCTACTTTTTTTATTTCTATTGTGACAGAACATGAACGACATTCACCTTCTTATTCAGAGATGTTTCTAGCATGAGGTCATTCCAATTTAAAGTACATGTAATAATGCAAATTTAATTCATTATACAAATTGATGCATGCACAGATTTTTAGCAGTCCAATAATTCATGTTTTCAATGAAAGGGGTCATCAATACACATGCTAACTTTAATGCAGATGTGTTATTTGCAATTTTCAATCAAATCAATTCCTGACGTAGGCTGGAACAGACACATTTAAAAAACACACCATTTATTGCAACGAGCAGCCTCTGTATCTAGCAATGATTGAATTGTAACTGTCAACAAAGTATCGTGTACGTCATTAGGGGCAGATGGTGGGCGCAGACCCAGTGGCTTTGTACATGCTAATATTGTCAACATGTATTTATATGTATGTGAGTCAAGAATAGTGAAAAATAAATGAAAATAAATGGTTAAACCACTTTTCTACAGGGATAACTGTAAAGTGTAATTAAAAAAGGTGCTGAAATTCAGTAGCAACTAGTACGAAAAGAAAAGGGTTACATGTTAAATGTTTATAGGTATTATACTGGAGGCTTACGATCGTAGACCAAACCAACGGTATTCTCTAGGAGTCGAAAATGTGAAATGGCTAGAAATATAGAGAGATGACAGACAATGAATGTTTTTGAATGAACAAACTATATAGTAAGCTACTAAACTAATATCTAAAGTGAGATGATTTTGCTATTAGTTAATTAAACATGTGCAATAGAAAGTTCACATTCCACAATAATTTTATTTTACCACATAAGCTAGAATGGGAAAAGCAAAAATCCCCACCCCCCCCTCCCCCATGTAAATACAGTAAACCTCTGGTTAGTTGAAAAATTAAACTAAATTGTCTTTGATCTGCTTCTGTTACTGGGTCGTGAGAGTAAAATCAAAACTGAACTGTACAAATTATGGACAAGATGTAACTTTGTGACTGATAATTTTGAATTTTGTGACAGATGCATGATATTCAAACTATAACTTTCATAAAAATTATTGTTTTTATGAATTAAGTATGTATTCCCACAATCCAACATAACCAGAGGCTTACATATTTCTAATATACATGGAAAGCATGTCATTAAAAACTTTAATCTTTAAATTGTGGTATAACAGGAAACATCAAATTCACCACCAATACCTATTTTACCTGGAAACGTTAATTTTAACATCATGTTATCAACGGAGATTATACTTTATATATTAATGTACAGGATATATATATATATATATTAGTGCAAAATTAAACCACACAGGTGTGTTTAAGGAAATAATACAACAAAAAACATCAACTTTAGAAAGGAAAAAAGTCTGACACACAACAAAGCAATATCATAAATATTGTTAAATACCAAGCCAGAGATACTAGTTAGTAGAGTTCCTGTCAGCACCTGTACAGATTTTAGGCTCGGCTCTATACACCGAGTCTCCTTATACTCCACCCTCTGATCCGTCTTACATAAAACACTGACAAACACTTTATTGTAAACAGAAAAGTAAATCCGAGCAATACTTTAAACGTGATTGGGGAAAACATTATTTCTGTGTAAGATTTGACCTGACTTGTCATTAAATATTAAGACAGCTGGCTTATGAGTCTTTTGATGTAATTTTTATAAAAACCTTCAGGACCCAAAAAACTTTATCTCAAGACGTATCATTATTGATTGACCTTCCCAGAGATAAGATATAAGCCTCTTTTTTATACAGATAGATAATCAATAATACCCCCTACAGGGTTTTAATTTTAATGAGGTCAAATACAATAGGCCTGATCCAGATAACTTTCCTCCAAACTTACATACAGGTTGTATGGATATCGCAATGTGTTTTTCAAAATGGCAGTTTTTTAATAGCTAATGAAGAACTTGCTGTTTGCCAGTAATAGCAGCTTCAGCAAATACCCCGGTAATAGGTATGTTTGGAGTAATGTACTAATTTACTGACAGAATTATTTACTAGATGAAAAATAAGACATCACCCTGAGAATGTGATCTTGATTGAAATTCTTTTGAGAAATTGTCATACCCAACCCTTTAATTGATTAGTTTCATCAAAATCTGTTTATAATGATCACTGAAATCATTAGAGCAACAACAAAGTTACTATTCTTAAAATAGGACCAGTGACCTTGACATTGAGCTAAGAAACCTGAACATTTATATGAAGTTTCATCGAAATTTGATCAGACATGAAGTTACTAGAGAGATGTTGAGAAGGTTCACAAACGTATGAACAGAACGCTTGTCCCCTTCAACTACATACTGTAGTAATTTGATCGTCAAGTCAGTTAAGCAATTTTCCCTTTCACTTTGAATTACCCTTGTTTCAAATTATTGAAAATTTTCATAAATACATGTACAATGCATCTTTAAAACACTCACTGACTTGGATTCAGGGTGTATTAGTTAAATAAAACAACACTCACTGACTTGGATTCAGGGTGTATTAGTTAAATAAAACAACCCTCACTGACTTGGATTCAGGGTGTTTTAGTTAAATAAAACAACACTCACTAACTTGGATTCAGGGCGTATTAGTTAAATAAAACAACACTCACTGACTTGGATTCAGGGTGTTTTAGTTAAATAAAACAACTCTCACTAACTTGGATTCAGGGCGTATTAGTTAAATAAAACAACACTCACTGACTTGGATTCAGGGTGTATTAGTTAAATAAAACAATATAATGTCTTTCCTAATCTTTATATTTCTCAAAAAAAGGGCACTAAGGTTTACAGAACCTTTCCTTTCTAAATTTGAAAACTTGTAGAATATTTTTGTTTTAGTTATATCAGCATCCTATATCTGTTTTACATGCAGTGACAAATACATGCTGTCAAGAAGCAAAGTAAAAGTGGTGTTATAGAATCTCAAAAGGACGACAAACAAATACAAAATAAATTGTTAAATACATTCAAGCAAAACATTGATTAGTAGCAAATAAAATAACTAAAACAAAATTAGTAGAGAAAGCATGCCTTCACCCAGACAGAGTACACACACAAGAGGCTGTAAGAGAAACAAAGGCAGGCACTAGAGATTATAGACGTCTACCCTGAGGAGCTGCGGCGATGGTGCTTCTCCCGATAGTTCACTCCCCTCTTACTGCGGATCTTGTGACAGTTTTCACAGCTCCTGTAGAAATGTGATGATACACGGTAATCAGAGAACCAATATGACAGGGACGATGTCAGGGTGAAAACACATATTAACACATGAAAATAGTCTCCCAATAAAATGTTTTTGTTTGTTTGTGTTTTACGTCCTGATAACAGCTATGGTCATTTAAGGACATGCCAGGTGTTTGGTTGTTGAGGAAAACTGGAATGCCCAGAAAAAAAATCACTGACCTACAGCCAGTGCCTGGCGACTGCCCTACGTAGGCCTCGAAACCTGGCACCCTGAGTGTTGGAGGGCTAGTAATCGTAGGCCTCGAAACCTGGCTCCCTGAGTGTTGGATGGCTAGTAATCGTAGGCCTCGAAACCTGGCCCCCTGAGTGTTGGAGGGCTAGTAATCGTAGGCCTCGAAACCTGGCACAGTGAGTGTTGGAGGGCTAGTAATCGTAAACGGTCAGATGCCTTCAACACATCGCCACTGTGGCCTTGCCTTGCAATGACTAGCCTTTGAAGTTATTGCTGATTAGGTATTCTTGGGTACTAGACAGATATTGACATATTTACGGCAATGCTGGAAAATTCTATCTGACCCACGAGACTGGATCAGCTGCATGCTCACAAACATGTCACATTAACCGTGGAAAACCTGTCTTGCTTAGAATTAAAAGGATGTCACAACAAGTTTTTTCGGTTTTCAAAATAAATTATCTATGTTTTTACTGCTTTGTTTGTCTATAGGCTATGGCAGAGAAAAACAGTTGTTTGGTTGTATAGATAAGATTGATCAAACTGGCAGAGTATAATACTTTTGACAGGACCTCAGTATACCTCAATCTATATAAAAATATTGTATCCTTTGGTTTTGAATTAGGTTATAATACTTTACACCATGTGTGTTAAGATTCCATTAATTCTAGCACAGTTATAATTTGACATAGTGATGTTATCAAGACTCAGGGCAAATTCTGGCAAAACAAAAGTGCATTAAATATGGTAGACACGTCTCATTTCTAGTATTAACCTTACAGAACTGATCTCTAAGAGTTCCACTGTAGGACTGGACAATACTGTTTATGTCCCTCTGTTGGATGTGAACTAGGACTTAGAAGATACTCTATCGGTACAATACAATACATATCGCAATTCCTTTCTTATAATAATACAATGATCTTCTTTCTCCCTGGATCAAGTTGATCTTTTCTATTCGAGGCATTCATTGAGTTTCATTATTTCCCTTGGTAAAATAATCCCTAAATATCCATTTTATTGGTTAAAGTTTGTGACTGAATTGTTCTCTTAGGAAATTTGAGGAGTCATGAAGGTAGTTAAGTGCATTTTGTAAATATAGACAACAGCCGATTTAAGATATTTTCTCACAAACGGCATGATGATACAGTAATATACTGTTGAAGTGGATATCAATAGATCTATTATTTAAGTAAGTAAATTGTGTAGCAGTTAAGCAATATATCAAGATATCCCAACTCTAATATGGAATGTTGTCCCAACGTACGATGGACTGTCATCCCAACCCTAATGTGGACCGTTGTCCAAACCCCAATGTGGACAATCATCCCAACCCTAACGTGGACTGTAGGCCCAGCCCTTATGTGGATCATCTACCCGACCCTAATGTTGACAATCGTCCCAATCCTTATGTGGATTGTCGTCCCACCCTTATGTTGTCCGTCTTCCTAACCCTTATGGTGTCCGTCCTCCCTACCCTTATGTTGTCCGCCGTCCCAACCCTTATGTTGTCTGTCGTCCCAACCCTTATGTTGTCTGTCGTCCTAACCCTTACGTTGTCCGTCGTCCCAACCCTTATGTTGTCTGTCGCCTAACCCTTATGTTGTCTGTCGCCCTAACCCTTATGTTGTCCGTCGCCCTAACCCTTATGCTGTCCGTTGTCCTAACCCTTATGTTGTCTGTCGCCCTAACCCTTATGTTGTCTGTCGCCCTAACCCTTATGTTGTCCGTCGTCCCAACCCTTATGTTGTCCGTCGTTACAACCCTTATGTTGTCCGTTGTCCCAACCCTTATGTAGACCAATGTGTAAGAAACTACTTACTTGTTATGACTAAGATGATCTGATGTGTCAGATTCTAGGTCATCTGCTTCTCCGAAATCTTCAAAATTTTCTTCGTCTGTACAATCTAATTGGCTGAAATTTAAATTCAATCTTCATAAAACCATGATACAGAAAATCAAGCTGTAATATTCAATGGATATACAATAATCTAAATCACATGATATCTCGTTGGTAGTTGATCTCTATTGCATGTGTGTAGTAATGATTTAATCTTCACATAGATATACCACAAAATACAGAACAAAATTGATTATAGCCTTTGAGATAGGCAATGATGAGCACAAAACTAGCCCTGGGTATGAATGGTACTGTGCAATCAACCAACTACATGGATAGGGAAGTGTAAATCTTGTCCGAGTGACGACGTTCAGTCGGTTGCAATAGGCCAATCTTGCCAATTACACTGATGTTAAAGTTTGAAATAGCTGTACGTTACTGGTTATTTTTAGCTATAATAATGTTAACAACAAAGACATTTTTTATTTTCTGAATGTCAAAATGCCAAAACAAACTTACCAATGAAATTATCAGGTATTTAACTTTGAACATTTAACTATCAGTTAAAGTCTTATTGCTGAATATTGAATAATAAAAAGTAGGTTTTACCACACAACCTTACTTATGCGTGTGTTATGTTCATACCTCATTACACAATGTGATATATATAAGTTTTGTCATTACAAAACACACAGGAAAACTTATCAACAGTCTAACCGGCTGTTATAAAATTTAGATAGCAACTTGTGACACCTGTTATAAGACAGTTGATTAATTTAGCTAATTGAGACACTTGATATGAGACTGTTGATGGGGGTAGCTAATATGTCAACTGTTACAAGACAGTTGACTTATTTAGCTAATTGAGACAACAGTTAAAAGACAGCTGATGGATTTTGTAAATTGAGACACCTGTTATAAGACAGTTGATTGATTTAGCTAATTGAGACACTTGATATGAGACTGTTCGATGGGGGTAGCTTATACAGACAACTGTTATAAGACAGTTGACTGATATAGCAAATTGAGACAACAGTTATAAGACAGCTGATGGCTTTAGCAAATTGAGACACCTGTTATAAGACAGTTGATGAATTTAGCTAATTGAGACACCTGTTATAAGACAGCTGATGGATTTTGTAAATTGAGACACCTGTTATAAGACAGTTGACTGATTTAGCAAATTGAGACACTTGATATGAGACTGTTGATGGGGGTAGCTAATAAAGAGAACTCTTAAAAGACATTTGATGGATTTTGTAAATTGAGACACTTGATATGAAACTGTGGATGGGGGTAGCTAAAAAGACAACAGTTATAAGACAGTTGATGGATTTAGCTAATTGAGACACCTGTTATAAGACAGTTGATTGATTTAGCTAATAAAGACACCTGTTATAAGACAGTTGATGGAGATAGCTATTTTAAGACACTCACCTGTTATAAGACAGTTGATGGATTTAGCTAATTAAGACACCTGTTATAAGACAATTGATGGAGGTAGCTATTTCACACTCACCTGTTATAAGACAATTGATGGAGGTCCTTGCGTTCTGGTTCAGGAGTGGAGAAGTCTATCAACAGGCCGACTCCATCTTCGTCAGTATTTGTATCGTACTCGTTAAAGGTATATGCACTTGCATCCGACACTTCCTTACACTGCAACACAGGTAAAACAAAGGAAATGTTACATGTGAGTATATATCTATCAACAGTTAGGCAGCTTTTGTTCTGTGGACATTAGTACAGGAAGAACACCTCACACCTTTACCTCAGGGTACATATAATGTTGGACTGCTGTCATAATATGTTTCTTAACGGCATCAACATATGGTCTTCAAACAAATGACAGTGGCCCTGTTTATATTGTACATCTGTCAAAGTCTATATAATAGAGACAACAGAGTACCTTTTATTAAGTTCACCAGTTAAAATTTCTCTTACCTGCTCAATTGATGAAAACTAACAACCAGTTTTCTTGATCGAACAGTCTCCTGATTTAAGTTTTTCATAGAAATCATCACATCATGGGTTAAACTGTTAAAAACCTTTTATGTCTGCAGTATGGCCACAGGCTACGTCACATATCGTTTATTTTACCAGAAGTCCCTCTGTTACAGTATTGCCCCCAGTGTAAACGCGTCTGTCACGGTGACTAATACCCCGAGCAGCTCATAACTGACGTCCCTGTATGCACCAGGATCTGTCTTACCCAGGTAAACACTGTTAACAAGTCAGCTGTTTGGGTTCAACTGAGGCATATAAAGATCATTATTCATTTCAAAACGTTTACCATCTGAATCAAGATGTAAAGTTGATCCTGTTAAACTGTATATTTTTTGAATACAGAAATTGCCAAATCATTCATATCCGTTGTGTTGTAATAATTCAGCAGGCATTCGTGTGTGGGAAAGTTCGCTCTGGTCGCTCATCTGTAGCGGGTATCCCCTGTACCTGCGATCCCCGATACCTGTGGTGTGCCACCCCTGACCATTATTTAAAAATCAAAGCTTTGGGCGTGCCCCATGACTGATGCTGACATCAACACGGGTGATTTTACGATTTGATAAATAATTCCCTGTGTGGTATTCTTAAAGTTAACTTTGACAACACGATTTAGTGGGAAAGGTTACTGAATTTACGCCACCAAACTAATACCACTTTGAATCTGAATTTACAAAATAGACATGAGTAATAATGTTAGCTAAAATTTGTTCTGTTTGCCAATTTGGAAAAGACAGTTTTATAAAATGGCATTTTTTTTATCGAGCGCATTATGTTATTGTGTGTAGGTTACCAGTGACATTACCGTGCAGATAACCTTACATGACATTTCCTCTGTCATCCCATTACTGATCTAGACAACTCCTGACAGTTCTATATTATTTGGTTGTAAATATATGTCTATGATACCATCTACAGTAAAACCTCAACATTTAAATGTCAACTCAGTTACAGCGAACATATTTCATTGCGTGGTCAATATGTTTTATTTTGGCGTAACAATACCTTTATGAGTTTCTCTACATTTATCACCTAACCTCTTTTAAAATGCCAAAATTTCCATTTAACTCATTCACCCCTGAAGACACATTTAAACTCTTCCAATGCATAGGTTGGAATAGTTCATTATGAAATTTCAGGGGTGAATGAGTTAAAAGTGGTGGCAGTATACAGAAATACAGTATCATACTTCGGAAGTCTCCATGTATGTATTGGAGGGACATTCATTGTTTCATCCTTATTTTTCAACTTCTAAAACACTCATTTCAAAAATTCAATTATATCATATGTAACAAAGGTTTGCCAGTAACCTATGGTATTTTACATTGCAACTTTGTCAAGTATGTTTTAATTTCCAACTTTTCCCCTAATTTCTCCCCTCCATGAAAGAGTTGAAAATATACATACATGTACTTGTCCACACTTTTGGAATTACTTCTTTGCCCCATATAATATTTTATGTAATTCGTATCCTACGGTCATACCTCCATTAGGATCCAGTGTTATATGGGATTTTACCGTCTATATTACTTCTTTGACCCATACATGTACATATATATATACAATACACTCTGTGTCTCATGTCAAATTGAAACATTTAATCTTTATCTTAATCCTCAACTTACGATGTCTGTTAGACGGTTTCGTCCCTTCTTTGAATATGTTGAAAGTTATACATACATTTACATCTCCATACAATTCAGTGTCTCATGTCAAATTGGAACATTTAATCTTTTTCTTAATCGTCAACTTACGATGTCTGTTAGAGGGTATGAACAAGTCTACATATAAAGTCAAGTTGTAGGGTAAGAGACGTCCCCAAGTACCACTCAACATGTAAACCCTACCGTGCTGTGGATAACATCTTCTGGTCCCCCAAGATCAAGTTTTCTTGACCTTTGACCCATACTCCATCTGATCTGCGTGCCTTACTATATATATATATATATATACATGATGCAGTAAGGCACACTGCAGACTTGGGTAAAATATACAGTAGTCAAGCACACACCTCAGCTAAAGTATGGATCAAACATCAGACAACTTGATCCTGGGGATATTTGTCCTAAAATGACCAGTACGAGAAGGATTCTAAAATCAACCAACGCTTATATTGAGAAATGTTTTATGAACATTTTACTATTGTATAGATATGTATATTAAATACCGCCTTTAAAGAAGAGTAACAGAGAGGTTCATTTTTTAATAATTCATTCATTTTGAAAGATTTAGTTTAAATGTATCTCCTTTAATTTACAAACTATCGAACAAGTTTTAGGAAGTTGGTATATTGTAGCATCTCCGACTCCAGGCGAGACAGTCATGATTTTATCATTTTCTACCAAAAGAATGTATTAGTTTACTACAACATACAGTGATGTAAAACTCTAGTATTTCATGTATTACTGATACCAATCATATTACCTTACCAGTTACATCATTGAGTACAGTTGATTTATTTAAATTCACCTTAGAATGCTAGAACATGCCTGATATATACACTCCAATCCACTCCAGGCAGGAGGTCATTAAGTGTTAATGCCTGAAGTGTGGAGTATCAACAAGATCTAATTAACTTTACATGTTCACAGCTAATTCTCTTACACAACAACCGTTAACAGCTTATGTGTGAGGTAATTTACCAGATATGGGAACAGAGTGGGTTATAAACAGCATGCATGCTATTTGAAATTAAGTACACAGCACCTGTAAGGTTAACGAACCCCTAGATTGTCCTCTCTACAACATAAATGTGTATCCAGTGCTAGAAGTTTTATATTGTAATATTGTTTCTAACCAATTTTCGATTTATCATCACTATCCTCTGTTCTGTAGACAAGTGATGATGTAATGTAGCACTTTACCCCAATACATATCTAATTATTTTTTGTGATGTGATATAAATGTATGATAGAATATTAAGTAACTGAAGCATAAAACACCAGGTACAGGTCTAATTCAGCATCTGTAACGTGTGCTAAGCACAGCAAAAATCCTAGCTGAATCATTGATACAAATATTATTCAGGCAGCTAACCTGAGATATGGACTTTATAATTTTTTCATATTTGAAATATGAGAGCATATTAATAAGTCGGTAAATGAATTTTAAAATGTAGGTCAAATCTGGCATCTGCAATATGTGTTTAGCAAAGTAACACAGTTGCATTACTAATGCAAGTATTATCCATGTATGACTTATTGTCACTCAAATATGGACTTCACAGGTTTTTTTGTAATGCATATAGATTGATGACGGATCCAATTTCTACATCCCCCACACATTGTGATCAGCTGGGAATAAAAATCAACTGAATATGTATATAATATTTATATTCACAAATTGAAATATTCCATAAATTGACTTTGAAGACATAAGTATAGCACTGCTCTCATCACTTTGAGACCAAAAGTATCATTTAATTATCCCTATAATGACCCCATGCAATACTATGTACATACAAACAATGAATATGATATCAACCATGATCACTGACAATAAGTATCGGTCCGACATGACAATCTGTGCGTAGCTACCACAGGTAATCGCAGGATCTAGCATCATTACCTGACAGCCATAGCCATACAACACGGCTTCAATACCCGTCTCTGGCCAACGACACAACACTCATTAATTTATACACAAGACTCTGTAGTCATATATGCCAACCATATCAATAAACAATTCGCTGGATGTTCAATAAAATATAAGAAACTTACTGCGGAGGATGTGGCTGGTTTCCCTTCTGCCATCTTGTATAATGTGACTTATTTTATTCCGAGAACTGCGTCGACAACATGATATTTATTTTTTGCTATCCCTCGGGGAAAATTCTTTGTAGTGTGTGAATAGGGAGAGAGGGGACAGGAAATTCACCTGGAAGTCTGATTACCTGTAGTTACCTTTATATTATACCTATCAGGTGAGCCAGACATCTTACCTGTAACATTCCTTACTAGGTGAATCTGTTGATGTTATTAAACTAGACAGAAACATGTACCATGCATTTGCCAAAAATCCAATTTAGCCAAGTTCTTACAGATCCGTTAGCTTTATAAAATGTTTATCATGACAAAGATGATTTATTATACAAAAGTACGAAAAAGATCTGAGTTTTCTACACAAAAAACCCCTGGATTTCTTGTTTTTATTGAATAGATGTATTATCATTAAGGACCCCTGTTGCACTTGCACTGAGTTTTTTTTGTACAGTAACCTCCCTTTAATTTCATTCTACATTTATATATTAACTGTAGCACAGTTGGGTCAGGACACTTCTGTTAACCAAGTAGCTCAGTCAGTTAGAGCGACAGTATAACAAACTGAAATCCAGGGTTCGAATCCCGGTCTAGTCCATCTGGATTTTTACGCTAAGAACACTTGTTGAACACTTGTTGAACACTTGTTGCAAGGTATGGTGTTCTTTTCAGAAATGATTTTAAGTCATGCCAAAAACTGTTTCCAATGTGTATAGTCACAGTTTTTGGCAGTGGTACAAGGGATCCTTAAAATAAACTACAAACACATGCTTCCAGTTATTTTGATTGACACCACACTGAAGTTAGCCAGACATGTGCTTTTGTAATTCTTAAAATAAATAAATAATACATGATTTCAAATGACTTCATGTCCTTGAAATTTACTTTGTTATTCAATTTCAATGTAAAGTAATTTATAATATGATAAAAAAATATTTAACAAAAATTTCGCCAGGTATAGAAAGGCACACAGATTATCTAATGTGGCATTCACGTCTGGAATGTTACATGTAATTTACCTTTTAAATCAATCAAGTATGTACACAAAGAAATCACTAGCATTTCATCCTTCTCTCCCCCACTACACCGCCCCAGTATACAATGTTTGATAGGAAATTAATTGGCTGTATCAAACGAAATAGCACTGAATGGGTTATTGATTTCATCGGTACACATTTTCTTAACCACCTATAATCTGTACAGTTGGTAGGAATTGACAAACAGCCAACCTTGTTTTTTTTTAAAAGTAATTGATCCTCCATCTAAAAAGACAGACGGCACAAATCTGAAATACGTTTTATTTGTATTTACGTTCATTACATATATACGTGAAGGTTGAACTACCGCAAACATCTGGTGCATTATTCTATAATGAATGTTTTAGTTAGTGTCAAAAGTATTGTAGATTTACTGATCATCTGATCATTAATATAAAGTCTGAATCTGTCAGGTTATTGTCACACATATTTAAAGTTCAAGGTCACTACTAATAAACTGTGATTTCACGTTTGTACTAATAAACTGTGATTTCACGTTTGATTTTTGTAACAAATTTCGTCTGAAATATTTTAATGAACTTCAAGTTCATTTGCATGTATCCATATGTAAGCCGAGGTACTTTAAATACATCAAAAACGATCATGTCTATCTGACAGAGGTTCTTTCCTCGCGTTCTACCAGACAACCTAATCCATTGACATCATTACAACTATATGTATACACAGTTGTATTTTTCTCATTAATGTCTGGTCCCAAATGAGTTGTAGGGGTCACGAGATAACGTGTGTGCACCGTATAGAACACGCCAGGGTATATATATACCATACATGCACATACTACCGTAACTGTAATAAGGCTATCACAAGGTCTGTTTACTTACCAGTGTCTGTCTACATACCTAGATTTCTATATACAGACTCTGTGATTAGATCTCATTATCTCTACTGTGCATTATATGCAGCTGTGAAAATTCACACAATTCTTATAAACATTACGTTATCTTTCCACATTACTAATATAGGTCAATGCAGATAATGGATTATTTCATACAAATCTGCTATGAACCAATTTCCAACCAGATTTTGCAAATAATTTTCCAATTTTAGTAAAATTCCTCTTAATGTCATGAGCCATTTATCAGACATGATATTAAGCAAAATGTGACAATAACAGAACTGAACTACTTTTATTGGTTATGTTTAAGTGCTTGTGTTCTAAAAGGAATTGCTCTGTGACTGTTGTAAAGGGTGTTCCATGTTTATACATCACTGAACATATAAACACAATATATTCATCACTAATTTTTCTACTGGTGTACATATACCAACAGAATGTTGTATTGGTTGTGAAGAATGATATTCATCATTGAACATGTATTCAAATGTACAAAACAATCTCCACAGATTTGATTAGTATACCAAAACTATGTCCCATTACATATACTGGTAACAGTACAGGTATCTTGTGTCCCATCATCCCTAAGATACATTTTTGACCGTCATTGTCGAGAAGCTCAGAGATTTCATGACTTTATTGTTATTAATAAGTAGCCCTGGACAACAAGGTGTATATTCTATGTAAGATACTGATGTAGGTGTAGCCGTAGATCTAATGTCCTTGCTGATAGTACTGTAGCACTATCTGTTCATCAGCTCATGAAGTACAACAGTCTATGATGGATATAAATGATAATTACAGCTGAGTCGACAGGTATACTATACATGTAGTTAACAATGACTAGCTCTACTCTATAACAGGTGTATATATGTACACACCTGTAATTGTTTACAAAACTGTGCAGATATATATAAATATACACAAGATACCGGTACTACTATATTTTATAAAAACACGTATACTCTGTCACTCTGTCATCACATTTGCGAGGTCTCAGTATCATGGAGGCAATTTTTGTAAAATTACTTCATTATTTTAAGATTTTGCTCAAATTCAAATAAGTGATTCTGTAGAAATGATTAAACTAAGGCATTTGGCAATGCATGTATATAGTGCCTGTATATTGGTTTTTACCTGTAGACTACTTATATTCCAAATCCATTGTTCAAAAGTGAAGATAGTGATAAACAGAGTAACAGGTATATACCGATTTGGAAAATTTCATTACAATTTTTTTCCCTGATGATTTATATTGTCGAGATTGAATGATGACAATATGAGACAGTGAAAGGATTGATTGTTATCATGAGAAACAAGAGATTATCAATTCATATCCATAGATCTACAATGTATCTATATCCAATCTAGTTAAAATCAGATCTCTCATTACACTACGTTGTGTGAAATAAGAGATCTGATTTTAATTAGATTGATCTATATCTAGTGTATAGGATCTTTGGATGTACCTAGAATATTTAATGTACTAATATATAGAGGATGTACCTAACATCTAGTGATGTATATAAGTACTAAACATTAGACTGATCTAACTGATATCAAAGTTAATTTCCTCTAAGACTTGCCACAAAATTGTAAATATTGAACATTGAAATTACACGAGTTTAATATTTCAGGAAGACGGTCACAGGAGATGATACCTATATATATATCCTTGTACAACACAAGTTGTTATAACTTAGGGAACACGCCACTTGACAACTTCCTGTGTTCATTGTACATATATGATGTTGGGTCATGCTTGCTATATAGAACTTACAAGTGATTTAATCACTGATGGTTTCTTCGCTGTTCTTTCTGAACTGGTAACTATCGGCAATTTTCATTCATTATTCAAATTTTCAATAAATATTTTTTTATGTTTCGATCATCGCATACATTGTAGATGAATGTAGAATCTACTCTACGATATAGTGTGTGTATACACTATGTGTTTTATGTATAGCTGTAGTAATTCTAGTAGCCAAGTGGCCTGTAATAGCTCTTTTATAATTTACACTCAGAAGTTGCATTTATGTAAACAGCAGTAATTCTGGTTTGTTTGTACCTGTATTACCTAACATTATACCTGGACATTCTAGCATGAATGAATAAAATATCATATTCACCTTTGACCTTTTTTCTCGAGATCCAGACTACATCTTAAGAAAACAAATTGGTGGTAATGTGACGAGTAAATCCCCGTAATCCCTGCCATTAACGCCTCCCAAAGTCTGATGCTGTCAGAATTTGTGTGTAAGCCCTACGTGATGATAGCATGCGTTATTTATGACGTACCTGTCAGTTGTATTCATACCTGTCTCGTTAAGGTGTAAACTATTCATCAGTGCATACGCAAAAGCTATCGGATCAATATTTCCGTATCTAGATCACTGTGCATGTATATAGCCAGTATCAGATGCTGCTGTGTTCGTGTATTTGATGTCAGAACCAACATCTGGACCCATTCACACCTTCACTAGTGGGCACCATACCTGGTGTAGTATTATAGTGTTACAGCTTTCTATCGGAGTATGACAACACAAAATGTATCAGCTGTCCTTTGCTTTTTTCCTGGTTCAATAGCAGTCAAATACCTTAGCCGTGAGACTTTCACAATCAATACAGGAAAGGTTTTCCCTATGTATTGATTCAACATTCCTATGTATTACGTATCAGATTAACACCATTGATTGATAACGTCATAACTCGTTAAGTCACATAAAGGAAGATTCTCAGAAAGCAAAGCATTATATACCTCATCACACTTGCCGACCTTTTGAAAATTCCACTTGAGAAATTCCACATGCTCAAAATTAGAAACATGAATTATATATACCTTCTAATGAAAAATAAACCCACGTTTCTCAAATAAAATAGCATATTTAGAGTCATGTTCTTTCATGTGAAACCATTAGATCTTACAATAAAGCAAAAGTTAAGCAAATTCACTGTATCCCTTTCACCCCTATGTACCTTTAGTAGACTCTACCATGCACTGATCTGGATGAGTCCATTACTGTTTATAGTGGTGAAAGGGTTAAGGGTCTAAAATTGAAGTCTCTTTCCAAAATAGGGAGAGTTGGCAAGTAGAAATACATGCATCACGTTTGTATGTTTGTTTGTTTGTATGTAATTATTTTATAAGGGTGGAACAATTTTCAGGTCTTCTTTTTTATGGTTCAGGTGAAGTATGGTCTGGTCAGCAATATCAAGTATCTGATGTCCGTCAAAAAGAAAAATTTCAATATTATTAAGTCTCATAAAATCCTTTGTTACAGCCTTATGTAATGAAGATTTCCCTAGTTTGTCCAGAGCTTACTAGTACTGGTCCTAACATCAACAACAAACACACTTAATCTTACCTCAGTGGGGGATATGTCTCCCAGCAGCTCTCCTATTCCGTTATTGGCAAATCTTGTGGACAGGTCAAACGGGCTCTTGGGGAGGTCAGTTCCTACAACACAGGGTAATAGTATAAAAATAAACAGAGGGGTGTAACACAACTGTATCTCAAACTTCACAGAAACTTAAAATCAACACATGGCATCATTAGTCACATCCAATGCAACCGAAGCATTTACTCAAAGTCCAGTCTTCAGACCTTAAAGGGATCTGTATATGCTCTATGCCAAAAAGTAGAAAAACTTTTTAAATGAAACATATTTCTTTTGACGATGGCACACCTGCCTGCCCAAGATGATCATCTCCCCCCTCCCCCCGTCCTATATCCTGGGAGAAGTTCCTTACTCATCATTTTTTTTGAGACTTCAAACATTATTTTTTTAAAGTGATGTACTTTGATATTTATTGTGATTTTGAGATTTATAAAATCAGCTATAGAAGCTATGGTATATATGTCATACAGAATATTTTTTCAATTCACAATAGTATGAGTCAATCTTTACTGTACCGTTAATATAGCTATATATATATAGATTATTATATGGGGCAAAGAAGTAATTCCAACAGTGTGGACCAGTGTTATATGGGATTTTACCGTCTATATTACTTCTTTGACCCATAGATTATTATAGGTAGACATTGGCACTTTCCCTGGGTATTTTTGGAATTGCCATCACATGAACAAATTTATGGTGAAATGAATCATCTTTGTTTACTTTCACCTTTTTTCCCTAATGTAAGATTTTCTGAAATCCTTCTAGTTATACAGCAGCTATAAGGAAGTTAAAAAAATAAAGTTGTTCTGCTTTTTTTGTCTATTTTAGATTTTGGGATTTATTCCTCCCCCATATTCATATACATTTACAGTGTAACCTAATGAAAGGTTATTAGGAAACATCTGTGACTATTCAATTAGCTATTAATTTGTATGTGAAGGCTGGTAATGGATATGTTAATGGTCAACTTGTCCATCAGTCAATTATGAAAATCACAATAAGATTTATTCATCAAAAGAAAAAAAAGTCTGATGTTAATTACACCTGGAGACATTGATATGGATATCATTGTCAACATCTGACTGATATAGACCTACAAACTCCCTGAACATACACTTTACATGATCAGTTATAGGTTACAGTGGAGACTTACCGACAGGTGTCTGTGGCTGAAGCTCAAGTATCTGGTTGACACCTTGGCAGAAATCGTCAAAATTAATCTTTCCTTTTCCTTCTGGATCGAGAATCTGTACAATTCCAACTACATTCTGGAAAAATGGACAGATAAAAATATGAGATGGTTTTTTTACAGAATTGCGACCGATTTTGTCAAATTTATGAAAGGCATATAAACTGCAAGTTTTTTAATGTAATTGTTCTTTGATAGATTTATATGCATTTATGAATTTTGATCATCGTAAGACTTTTCACTGTTAAATTACATTATTTCAGTTAGAATTGAAATTATATGCGTAGTGTAAAAGAAAAAGTAATATGTATATTCTTATATTTGGCAAATGAACAACTATACAGTGACAAAGGACCCTGTGATCACAACCATGTAAACAATGTCCTTTTGATGTTCATGAAAGAGACATGCATAATAATCATCACTGCAGCCTTGTCAACAGCAAATTTATAGTATTTTATTTATAGAATGGCTCGAGGTCACCTGTGGACACTGCATAAAATAAGGAATGTGAAGGCCACACTTCTCACCTACGCAATGAGGAAGCAGCTAGACCAAAACACAGTTTTTGTTTACATTCACCCTGTATTTTGACAACGGACTCCGATATCCTTTGATTTGGAGCAGTCTAAATGCATTATTAGGTGTCAAAGGGTCGAACATGTGACTCTCAACTTTCAGGATATACCTTTATTATAACCATTTAAGGTGTTTGATTTGATAGAATTACATGTAAATCATCAGCAGAATTGTCGCTACAACACATACTCATATCATGGCAAATTCTCACGATTGTTGACCAGTTTTCATTCCCATTGATCCTGATCTTGTATGTATGTATGTATGTATGTATAGGACATATAGTTATAGGTATAAGTAAATAATAAATGTTAATATTGATGTACACTGACCGCATAATGTCGGAAACAGATAATGACCGGTGTCTGTATTATTGCCCTGTTTCTGTTATTACCAGATACATATAAGTATAGACATCCACTGGTTTACACAATAAGCCAGGACATGTTTGGTCATAAAACGGCAGTCACTCACTGGTTAGTCGTTATACACATGTATGTATAATGTTATATAGGCTAAGACTGTTGTCTCATCCAATTGTGCAATTTTTTGTCCAATAAAATTTGTTGAAATCAAATGTCTAATGTCCCTAAAGATCTCACTGTCAACTAAATAACACAGATGTATAATATCACAAATGATTTTACTGTCAATTGACACAGATGTGGACAAGCTGTTCAAGCTAAGCTGGTTACAATACAGCATTAATTAGCTCCTAAACAAAGTACCTGTGTCTTTTTAGCCTTAGTGTAATAATACATGTAATTATATATATAAGCTTCCATTGAGATTGGAGCTTATACCCTGAAATTTCAAAACAAAACAGTCTGAACCAGAAAACATGAACCTATGATCATGACTCGGAATTCTACTGTACAGTAATTAAGCAAGCCAGAAACCATTCATAATTATATACATGTTGAATGTATTAATTAAAAGTAATCAAAGTCCACCACTTCCTGTCGAATTCTAATATAAAAGGGGCAACAGTATAAAAGTTATATATGCCCTCGGTAGTGGGATATATATAAAACCCAATTTCTGTAGCGACACTCCGCCAGACTAAGAGGTATGTACACACCAATCACATACAAATTTCGGTAAGTGTATGTGATAAGACTCAAGAGTATTTAAGATACTGGTATATATATATATGACACGAACAGAGTGATGCACAAAGTGACACACAGAAATGTTATGACTTCAGATGGATGGAATAAAACTTATATGTATAGTCCCATCCAGTAGTATAAGGTGAGAACTTAATAAATATGATACTTGAAAATAAAATTGAGGTCTTTTTGATTTAGAATGCATATACTTAAGTTAAAAGGATATATTCACACCTTGATTTTGATGACTTTTAAAACCTTATACAGTCTATATATATATATATATGACTATTCCTAATTTATCCTAATTTTAACAGTTACGTTATCTGACTCTCCTGAAATTTCAAGTTAAGTTAAAATTCTTGTTTCTGTATTTCCAATACAATTTAGATTTGTTGTATCCCAGTATATATACACCAACACTAGACAGAACATGTGATGCCAGGTATCCCAGTATATATACACCAACACTAGACTGAACATGTGATGCCAGGTATCCCAGTATATATACACAAACACCAGACAGAACATGTGATGACAGGTATCCCAGTATATATACACCAACACTAGACAGAACATGTGATGCCAGGTATCCCAGTATATATACACCAACACTAGACAGAACATGTGATGCCAGGTATCCCAGTATATATACACCAACACTAGACAGAACATGTGATGCCAGGTATCCCAGTATATATACACCAACACTAGACAGAACATGTGATGCCAGGTATCCCAGTATATATACACCAACACTAGACAGAACATGTGATGCCAGGTATCCCAGTATATATACACCAACACTAGACAGAACATGTGATGCCAGGTATCCCAGTATATATACACCAACACTAGACAGAACATGTGATGCCAGGTATCCCAGTATATATACACCAACACTAGACAGAACATGTGATGCCAGGTATCCCAGTATATATACACCAACACTAGACAGAACATGTGATGCCAGGTATCCCAGTATATATACACCAACACTAGACAGAACATGTGATGCCAGGTATCCCAGTATATATACACCAACACTAGACAGAACATGTGATGCCAGGTATCCCAGTATATATACACCAACACTAGACAGAACATGTGATGCCAGGTATCCCAGTATATATACACCAACACTAGACAGAACATGTGATGCCAGGTATCCCAGTATATATACACCAACACTAGACAGAACATGTGATGCCAGGTATCCCAGTATATATACACCAACACTAGACAGAACATGTGATGCCAGGTATCCCAGTATATATACACCAACACTAGACAGAACATGTGATGCCAGGTATCCCAGTATATATACACCAACACTAGACAGAACATGTGATGCCAGGTATCCCAGTATATATACACCAACACTAGACAGAACATGTGATGCCAGGTATCCCAGTATATATACACCAACACTAGACAGAACATGTGATGCCAGGTATCCCAGTATATATACACCAACACTAGACAGAACATGTGATGCCAGGTATCCCAGTATATATACACCAACACTAGACAGAACATGTGATGCCAGGTATCCCAGTATATATACACCAACACTAGACAGAACATGTGATGCCAGGTATCCCAGTATATATACACCAACACTAGACAGAACATGTGATGCCAGGTATCCCAGTATATATACACCAACACTAGACAGAACATGTGATGCCAGGTATCCCAGTATATATACACCAACACTAGACAGAACATGTGATGCCAGGTATCCCAGTATATATACACCAACACTAGACAGAACATGTGATGCCAGGTATCCCAGTATATATACACCAACACTAGACAGAACATGTGATGCCAGGTATCCCAGTATATATACACCAACACTAGACAGAACATGTGATGCCAGGTATCCCAGTATATATACACCAACACTAGACAGAACATGTGATGCCAGGTATCCCAGTATATATACACCAACACTAGACAGAACATGTGATGCCAGGTATCCCAGTATATATACACCAACACTAGACAGAACATGTGATGCCAGGTATCCCAGTATATATACACCAACACTAGACAGAACATGTGATGCCAGGTATCCCAGTATATATACACCAACACTAGACAGAACATGTGATGCCAGGTATCCCAGTATATATACACCAACACTAGACAGAACATGTGATGCCAGGTATCCCAGTATATATACACCAACACTAGACAGAACATGTGATGCCAGGTATCCCAGTATATATACACCAACACTAGACAGAACATGTGATGCCAGGTATCCCAGTATATATACACCAACACTAGACAGAACATGTGATGCCAGGTATCCCAGTATATATACACCAACACTAGACAGAACATGTGATGCCAGGTATCCCAGTATATATACACCAACACTAGACAGAACATGTGATGCCAGGTATCCCAGTATATATACACCAACACTAGACAGAACATGTGATGCCAGGTATCCCAGTATATATACACCAACACTAAACAGAACATGTGATAACAGGTATCCCAGTATACATATATATATACACTACACAGAACATGTGATGCCAGGTATCCCAGTATATATACACCAACACTACACAGAACATGTGATGCCAGGTATCCCAGTATATATACTCCAACACTAGACAGAACATGTGATGCCAGGTATCCCAGTATATATACTCCAACACTAGACAGAACATGTGATGCCAGGTATCCCAGGATACATGTACTCCCAGAAGATCTTAAATATTTATGAACAGTGATTGATCAGTAAATCATCAATATTGACATGCAACTAGTATATATACACCAACACTAGACTGAACATGTGATGCCAGGTATCCCTGTATATATACACCAACACTAGACAGAACATGTGATAACAGGTATCCCAGTATATATACACCAACACTACACAGAACACATGATGCCAGGTATCCCAGTATATATACACCAACACCAGACAGAACATGTGAAGACAGGTATCCCAGTATATATACACCAACACTAGACAGAGCATGTGATAACAGGTATCCCAGTATATATACACCAACACTAAACAGAAAATGTGATAACAGGTATCCCAGTATACATATATATATACACTACACAGAACATGTGATGCCAGGTATCCCCATATATATACACCAACACTAGACACAACACATGATGCCAGGTATCCCCATATATATACACCAACACTAGACTGAACATGTGATGCCAGGTATCCCCATATATATACACCAACACTAGACACAACACATGATGCCAGGTATCCCCATATATATACACCAACACTAGACTGAACATGTGATGCCAGGTATCCCAGTATATATACTCCAACACTAGACAGAACATGTGATGCCAGGTATCGCAGTATATATACACCAACACTAGACTGAACATGTGATGCCAGGTATCGCAGTATATATACACCAACACTAGACTGAACATGTGATGCCAGGTATCCCTGTATATATACACCAACACTAGACAGAACATGTGATAACAGGTATCCCAGTATATATATACCAACACTAGACAGAACATGTGATGCCAGGTATCCCAGTATACATGTACTCCCAGAAGATCTTAAATATTTATGAACAGTGATTGATCAGTAAATCATCAATATTGACATGCAACTCTGTTAACGTTGCTCTTGGTTGACAGGAGTGTTAACATGTATTATTATGACCAAACAAGTCAAAAGATTGTGTTTGTGCTTTCAAAACATCAAAATTGTAGGTTACATGCATCTAAATCTTATAAGACAGATGGAACTGTTTTTTGCAAGATGTTTTTAATTGGATTATATACACATTAATAACATGGTGTAACCATGTTTCAGCCTTATATATACGCAGTGCTTGTCTAAAATAACCTTATTGACAGGGAAAGGAGACATGCAGATTTTTCTCACTACATGAATTACAATCGATAAAAGGACCATTTATGCAAGCATTCAGTTTTTCAATCATTACAATGAATAATGTAACAGGTTTAATCAATAATTCTATAAGACTATAAAAGTTTCTATAAACTAGAATTCAATGATATTTAAACCCCTATGGATGTTTACCTTTCTTGTTTATCTTCATTATATGTACCAAGTGTTACGAATGTTTCTGTATATATGCAGCAGGTATATTTACTATATCTTCACAGTAGACAATATACCCACAATCTCACACTGTATACATTTAATAGCCAAGTACCTAGTATAATCACCAGACAATATACCAATAGTCACTGATACATTAGTAAATTCTGTGATAGTGTTTACTGTGTTAGTAAAGTGGAGACTCTGGCTGGTGTTGACAGTAGGGATTTTCTACTGGAGTGCTCAATGATAAAGGCTTTATAGGTTTCTCAGAGATATTACTTCATCACATCAACAAACCAGTATAGCTTGCCTATTAGACTATTAGTGGCTACTGTCCAGTCTTGTTCCATATCACAAGGCCTATGAAGTTATGGGGGACCTATTACTTCATAGGATCAACAAACCAGAAAAGCTGGCCTATTAGTGGCCACTGTCCGCCATGTCCCACCTCAGTAAGCCAGACAAATTCAATTATTTGTTACATATAAAGCAAACACTAACTCGGTTGCTATCATAATGTAACCTGAATGCTGATGGCCCTAGACAAGACACTTTCAATGGGTCCATGGAGGTTTCCCCATCCCCAGCTCCCTCCGAATCAAGATAACAGTGTTTGATAACTATTGATTTCTATACCAGCTTCTGTAAGGTCATTAAGAATATATAGTAAATAATATGTTTTTAATTAATAAATATCCAAATCCGGCATTTTTTTGCAGTCTGTATATTGATTAGCCATGAACATTTATCTAGTATTAAATTATATCTACCTGGTTGGGTTGATTACGAAATGTACCATTTTTAATTCACCTGGTAAACACATTAATTATAAGCTTATTATTTGATAAAAAATATGTTGACATTGATTTTTGGGACACAGAAGAGATTTCTGAATCTTGGATTCCCTTTTTCCTGCGAAACTCACCTACTCTTAGGATTGGGTTTCAGCAGTATTTTGGAAACAATATTCTGAATTGTCAGAGAAAATCTACGAAAGTCTCTGAGTGCATTCTAAAAAACCTCAATTCCATTGATTTTATTACACCTGTTGTACCTGGATGATATTTCATTACAGTTTGTATTGTAAAAGTTTTTATAGCTTCAACGTCCCTGACCTTTAAATCCTGAGTGACCTGATTACATGATAATTATATATAATGACACATCAGATGACCATTCTGGACACCTCCAGCTATGTCAGCACAGGTCATAGGGCGAACAGTCACACTATAGATGTACAATTCAGTGCCATTTCATGTACCCTATAAATACAGGTTCCCAATCAGTTTAAATCTGGAGTTGGATTCTATGGATACATGTAGATATAAATTGTACCTGTCACTCATGGGTGCCCTAGGACATCAATGAATTTTGTCTTTATGTCAATAACATTTTGTTAACTTCCAGTTCCTCGAAAGGAAGTGTCTTGGAGGCAACTAACAGAAATTGGAATAATTACATTCTACAAGAATAACAGAAAATAAAAGTATAAAGTTAAAAAAAATATCAGGCAAACAAAATATATGTTTGCAGTAAAACCAGTCACTAGTGACATGCTGTTTGAGTAGAGAATTGGGTTTTGTATCTTATCATAACCTGTTAATATCAACTACAGTTTGTGTGTTATACAGTCAATATCACATTGTTTATATTAATTAACATTGTTTGCAGTAATAATAAATTATCTGTAAACAACCGTTGAAATTCCTGTGACCCGATCTTAAATGTTTTAAACAGATAATCTGGTAGATTATATTAATTTTAGTATTGTCACAGTTATCATAAATACATTGCATGACGTATGTGTAATAATGATAGAGAAATATATAGATGCTAATTAATACGACCCACTTTATATATAAAATAAATAATTCCACTAATACTATTAAAAATATCTGGTATAAGCTTTTGTCATGGGAACCAAATGATGACAATCAACAGAAGCTAATGAGTGCAATACTTCAACTGTCTACGCTGGTTATTTTTTATCGATTTCTGTTTGTTTACAATCTAACCTCAAGTTGATAGCCAACGATAAGCCAACTGTCAAATTGAACGTAATATCTATCGTTGAGCGAGTAGGCCGCTGTCAAAAAAACTTGTTGTCAATTATGCATCAAGTATTACAAGTAGAACATCAAGTTTAAGAATTAAATGACTTGTAATTCTAAAATTAGAAGTTCACGTGTGAATCATCTGTTTGAAAGCGTCTGTTATGCATGATATGAAAGAGCTGTAACGCCCCTACTTTCAACATTCTTACCTCATCGCTATCGGCTCCGAAATGTTCTTTGGCCAAATTTTTGAAGTGATCAACAGTTATATAGCCCTCTTTTTGAACATCACATACATCGAACACTGATTGAAGCTTCCCCCTTAAATCTCCGTCCATTGCCTTCTTGTAGACACCCCCTCCGCCTTTCACCTCTGGTGATATATCCAACAATTTGGCCATACAGGTAAATTTTGACTCAACTGGTGCCGGAGAACTACGAAAACAGGAAGTGCTTACATTCATAAAATATAGTTCAGGATGAAAAACGAATATAATTTAATATTTACGATACCTTAAATTTATAAAATCATATAAACAATGTATTCATTTACTATAGTTATTTCATGGTCGATATTTAATTTCATTTTAAATACAGATCAATTAAGAGCTATAAAGTTGAAAACTGCGCGGATTGATATCTCATATGTCACTTCCTAGTTCGGTCGACAGGTGCGATGTTGGGCAAACAAAGTGAAGTCTCGACAGGTAGACGAAGACGTTGTCAGATCAAATCGTCGATAAAAATGCATTTGTTTAAAGGGTCAGGTTTATTGCGATTTGAGGAAGCGTATATACACAATAAAAAATATATACAAAATATGTTTTCTAGTTTCAGTTTCAATTTATCACACAGGTCAAGGGTGGTAACTCGTACTTGGAACTAACTTCACTATAACTTATGGTGTAATTTTGAGATTCTTTGTTGTATTTTTTTTCGTTTTTGTTTGTTGTACGTTTTGTTCTGCGGTGTATTGGGATGGCAGAGTGGGGTTGCTATCTATTTTTAATTGCATGAATAAACGTGTTCCTGCTACACTATAATCTTATTTTTTTACCGATCGGTGAGTAATTTTAATAAGATCTTTAACAGTCAAACATACAGCAAGTGTGATAGATTTGATTTAATTTGCTATTATATCTTCGCAACAGCTTTACTTGAATGATCGAATTAGACAACAATGGTAGAGTCACGCAACTGTGGACCACATTTTGATTAAAGTTCCACCACAATGAAAGTGAGGCGAGAAATGGGACGTAAATGCTTGGGGTAAGGTGGAAAAATTCTGATCTCTTATATTAATTCAAACTGTCACTAGTCTAGTATATAGTTTGAACACATTTAATTTAAACACGAGTTTCTTCTGTACATGTATTTGAACGAATACTTGTTCATTGCGCCGACGCATGATAAAATATAGGCATTTGAATCAAGAGGCCCTTCCTTTTAAAAGTCGGACTTAAACAAAACACATACCTACTCCAGTACATATATTGCTAAGGTTATCGTCTACGCCATTGTTTGAGACGACCGATTTTGTACAACTAAACAGAAATATTGCGGTCGCTACTTTTATCTGACAAAATGATAGAAGAGGCAAGAAGAGCAGCCAGCGAGGAGACGAACAACGGCTGTAATAAAGGATGAGAACGGAAAATATTGGTTAGTGAAGATGGTTATAAGAAAGATGGAGATATCAAGGTTAATCCCATCTTTTACTAAATTGTCTCCCGTTTAACATGTTCAGGATTTCTCTGCGACCCCGAGCTAGGGTATGATATTGGTCACAACACACATAAACATACATATGTGTGTTGTGACCCATATCATTATAGCATATGTGTGATTGTAACGTGACCCTGTGCTCTACCAGAGATATCCAACCCGAGTTCCCGAGGGATGATTTATTTGGTTTCTGAAAGCCTCGTGTTAGAAAACCAAATAAATCACGTACCCCTCGGATTGGAGATTTCTCTGTCACACCCTCAACGTAGAAGAATATTCTATTAGTCCATGAAAAGTAAAAAAAAAAAAAAAATCATGAACAACACAAAAACCCATTCCGCCAATTGGTAAAGAAGACCACGACATTGTCATATAGTCAAATTGTCACTGAAATATTGTCTATCAAAACCAAGGGTAGTTTACAAGTATAGCAAAGCAGGTTAGGATAAATAAAAGAGGACCTAAATCAACACTAGACGATTAAACAAAAACGACCACGGAAGTAATAACATGTACGAACTATGAAATATGTTCAAGTACAAATACTCCAGAAATTAGCAAACCACAAGAAATTATTACCACGGGTCAGCGCTATCCTTTCAAATAAAATGAAAGATAATATGAAAAATTGTACAACGAAACCACAAGAGCACCGCGAGCGGAAGCATGATACGCCCGTCAGACATTGATATATTGGAAGCAGGTAGTGACATATGATATAAATGTGTTACTGCCACCGTTCTGTTGGTGACCTTGACTTTCCCATACATTTACTGTATTTATGGCGCAAGTTATTTGTGTTTCAGAATTACACTTTCGTGGTCAATGTTTTGCTATTACTAAAACTAGAACCTTGGCTTTGAGGTAGGAGTCTTGAACAAATAATTAAAAAGTTCTTGCATTTTCGACGGAATGCCCTTATTTGGCAATGAAAAAGGGGCATAACTCTGTCGAATAGCGGTAAGATGTCACGATTTAAGAACTCATTCAAAGCATTTAATAAAAATCGGAGAACAGTTGTTTGATTTATCGTGTAAACAAGCAAAAGTTAACGGCAAAAATGAAGTACGGTGTTGCTATGTCAAGTGTTATACGCCAAAACGCGGAAAGTTGAAACTCAACAGAAAAACCCGTAATATATGTTAAACAGTATTGCTTCTAGCATTATCGCCCAAAATTTGAAAGGAATTGATTGAAAAATAAAAAAAGTTGCATTTATTACACAATGCCATTATTTGGCAATAAAAGGGGCATAACTCCAACAAAATGCAAGTTACTTCTGAAATGCGAACTATGATCAAGATATGTTTATGAATGAAGGCAAGAGAGCTATGACAAGGAAAAGTTAACGGACGGACGGACAACGCAGTCAATTCCATATTATGACCCGTCGGACGTCGGACGTATAAAAAAGCAAAAGAAAACCAAAACCAGACAATATGAAATCATTGCAGTCAGAAATGCAGAGAAAAAAACCGATACTGGTCATTCCGGACCAAGACGAGCCAAAAACAAAACAGTCCCAAGAAACTTACATACATGTACTTATATAAAATTAAAAAAAAACACCCTGGAGGCCAAAACACTCCACCACTCCTCAGTTATGACCAGAGATATGACGACACAACAACAAAAGGAAATATTCTCAACCCATTAATTCAAAGATTATTTTTACCCCCGCATCAAACCAGCCAATTCCTGGCAAAGGTCTTAGACTTATCCAACTATTCCTGACAAAAGCTATGTCTGAAAATGGAATCCTGAAATTAATCAACTGCATAAATCCACATAAGGCATCCGACCCTGATCCAATCCATGGACATTTTTTGAAAGAATCTAAATCTTCTATTAGTCCAATTCATCTAATCCTCACACTTCTCTGCACCAAAGCACTCGATAGAGTCACATATGACTGGAATTTAGCATATGTCTGTACTGTCTTCAAACAAATGGTGATAAGCACAGTACAGTAAATTATGGCCCTATTTCAGCCAACAAAATTCTTTATGAACAACAACATGGCTTTTGGTCTTCCCGCTCTTGTCAACTCAACTCATCCTTTGTTAAACACCTGAATTCCTCCTTAAATTCTAATAATCAAACAGACGTAATTATTACGTTTTTTCAAAAGCGTTCAATAAAGTTTCCCACACGTATTTACTGTACAAGCTTAAATTCTATGGCATCAGAAACATTAGTCTACCAAGGACCTCCTCTTTCCTGTGTAGTAAAACGCAGTAGTTTTAAATGGCATAAGCTCTAATACTGTACCTGTCACATCTGGTTTGCTCAAATGTAGAGTTCTAGGCTCAATCCTTTCCTAGTCTGTCAGAATACACATCACAATCCGTGAAATTACTTTTTCCAAATAACGTCCAGAAACTTTAAGCTGATCTTATTGCTGCTGCATGTGCTGTTTCAAAATGGGAAAGCCGGTCCCCGACTGGCTCATGTCCTGTCACCCAGATAAATGTTCAGTATCAAAATAACTGCCTCTCTTAAACCACAATTCAACACGAATTATATCCACCGTGACCAGATACTACACTAAAGGATTCTGATAAATACAGTTATGTATCTTGGAGTAACAATACAATCAAAACTAAAATGAGATAAACATATCAATTCTATTTCGGCTGAAACAAATTAAATAGTTGGCTTCTTACTTAGGAATATGAAAAATTAATACCACACATATACAATGTCATGCATATAAAACCATTGTCCGTCCTAAATTAGAATACTGCTCTCCAACCTGGGATCCACATTATACAAACAAATTAGAAAAAAATAAAACGAAAATGAGGTAGATATATCTGTAACAGATGTCACGATACAAGCTCTGTCACTGAAATGCTGAAGACTCTACACTTGCCACTTTTCCAAACTCGTCGTTTCTATTTCAGACTTGTAAACTTTTATAAAAATTACTCACAGTATTGTCGCCATCTATCCATCAGACATTCTCACACATGTAAGAACCTGATACAGCTGCAACAACCCAAATGTACAATTAGAAATACTCCTTCTATCCTCATACTATAATTCTGTGGGACATTCTGCTGTCTCGGCTGACCATGTGGATGCTTTCAAGTCAAACATCCGAGTTTCCTATCTCTCCACTATTGTCGAGATCAGCACCCCAGTAAATAGTTTTCTATATAAGTCAAGAAAGTAAAAGTATTCACCTATTCCCTTTTGTATATAATCTAGCGCATGGCATATAATTCGACAGCTTTGATGGTATGACATTACAACCAAATAGAAGGAGAGAGAACCAATTGATACCATAGACAGAACTGAAAGATGAAAAAAATATATCATAAAAGCCTTGAAAAGTTTGAAGAACGGGAAGTCTGGAGATTGAGATGGTATTACATTGAAATCACTCCGAGCAGACCCATCGACGACGGTGTAACATACATAGACAAAACGCTGTTCAGCGCGATATGGGGACATGAGAAAATGCCGGCAAAATGGAATAAATGGAATATCTGTATGTGACAACTATACACAGTTTTCAATGCCAACTAAAATTTTGGGAAAAGTGAATATCAGACGAACTCGTGATGAAGCTGGTGATAACCAAGAGTGGAACAAGCTGGATTTCGTAGAGGCAGAAGCACAATAGAGCAACGGTTCACACACATAATCATCATCGAACAGAGTGTGGAATATAACTTGCCCTTGCTGATCTTTTTTGTGGA